CTTCAAATTATCAAAATTTCGAGGAAAGTTTCCTTGCTTCAAAGTAGAGATGGAGCCCTTTGAGCCACTGCATATAGGTCAGTGACTCAAAATACTCCATCTCTACTAGAAATCGCCAAAATTTGGGTCGCAATCTTTGAAATGCGACGCAAGTTTTGGCAATTTCGCGAGGGACTTGCTCCATTTGGTGCATAGATTCACACTCTATGCACCAGATGGAACAATTCTTTCGCTGACAGCGGGAAACTTTGTCTGAATAGTTTAACATTCAGACAAAGTTTCCCGCTGTCAGAGGAGGAATGGAAGGGTAAGAGGTATATATTCATAATGTATACCTCTTACTCTTCCATTCCCTCAGAAAAGTTCAAAAACTTGGTGCAATCAGTTCTGATTGCCCAAGTTTTTGAACTTTATATAAGGAATTGTTGGCTATGATGTACTGATCATGAATCAGTACATCATAGCCAACAATTCCTTCCCAAACAGTGGGAAACTTTGTCTGAATAGTTTAACATTCAGACAAAGTTTCCGCTGTCAGGGAGGGAATTAGAGGGTGGGAGATATATAGATAGACTATAAATCTCTCACCCTTTAATTCCCTCAAGAAAGTTCAAAAACTTGGGTGCAATCAGAACTGATTGCACCCAAGTTTTTGAATTTTGTATAAGGAATTGTTGGCTATGATGTACTGATCATGAATCAGTACATCATAGCCAACAATTCTACCTTTTAACCAAAGATAATTGATTCGTATGTAAAATATTAAGCTAAAATTTCTCTTTCTTTTAGTACACATTCTTCCATTTCGTGTACATGTATCATATATTAAGTACTAGTTATCTATTCTATATCCTTTATCCCAATTTAGATACTCAAAGATAATTCTTTTTCAGAAGAAAAAAAATATTTTCTATTAAACCGTTATTTTTTCAATGTGAGTTTTCAATTTTATTTTTCCTTTTTGCTGCTCAATGCAACATCCTCCACCCGATCCTCCATGCGAGGTTGATCAAGCCATAGGATATTTAGAATATTCTCGTTTTGTTATAGCTGCAGAGCTGCATGGTAACATAAGATTTGTCAAAGACCCACAAAAACTATCAATTGGAACAGGAGTATTAATCTACCACCGATGCGAATACGAAGGCTGCCCAGCAGGCTTTAAATTTATTAAAAATTTCGACAATTACATTTTTAAATCTGCAAACTTAACTCATATTCACTCAGGACCACCACCACAACATAAAAATACACCTACAAGTGGTACTTACCGTGCTTGGATTAAAAAATTTCTCATGAATCACGGAAGTCCACTTAATGCAACACAAGAAGTCAACAAAACGCTTGAAATACCTAAAGATCATACTTGTATTCACATGACTATGAAACAAACTGCAATCAATCAATTGAAATATTATTTACAACAAAAAGATCTTATGAGATCTTTACCAGACATATCTTTAAATCAATTTCAATCTTTACAAAACTATGTTAATCAATGGGAAGATCAACATGATGACCTTATTTATTTTGACATTCAAGGTGAAGATACTGATTTTCCAGACAAATTGGTTTTTATTTACTCTGATAATGATATGATGAATTTCTGTTTATTACAATATAATACTTATATATTTTCAAAAAGACATTTTGAAAAGATATCTCAAAAGTTCTCTGAAAACCTATTTTTGATTAATTTTGAGAAATATCCGTATTAAATTAATCAATAAATTCATTCAACACTACTTTAATTTTAAATTCAAAAAATTATATGTGCTTCTTAAAATGTCTCACAAAAATTTTATTATAAAATTATATACAATATTAAAAATCCCACAACATTTTTTACTTTACATAATCGTACCTCCTCGATGATTAATTTCCCCTCAATTTCTATCGTTGACCGAACTTAGCATGCAACAATTATACATAATTGGAATACGCGTATTGACTTTGGATGCAACAATGTTGTGGGATTTTTAATATGCTGACAAATCCGATCTTTAAATAATTTATGTGCGATCCTTGATCTATTTTCATGAATCAAGTGATTTGGAGTGATAAAATTACTGTTTGTGCCGTAGATTGTTTTTAAATATCAAATATGAAAAGAATGAATGAATACCATTCAGGATATTATTTTGCCATTTTAGACCATTGAATTTTTGGCGCCATCAATTGAATAATTTGGCGCCAAAACCGAAAATCATGATTTTAGAATGTCTTCCAAGAAGCCAGCCTCTAAAACACCAACCGAGAAGAAGCCAGCCGTCGAGGGCGTCGATGCTGCCAACGCTGCCAAGCAAGACAAGAAGCTCCGCCACAAGAAGCGTGCTGAACACTTCTCATCCTACATCTTCAAGGTTCTTAAGCAGGTCCACCCAGATATCGGTATCTCCAACAAGGCTATGATGGTCATGAACTCTTTCGTTACAGATATCTTCGAACGTATCGCTCAGGAGGTGCACGCCTTGTCGATATGAACGAACGTAACACACTTGGTTCTCGCGAAGTCCAGACAGCCGTTCGTCTTGTTCTTCCAGGCGATCTCTCTCTGACGGAGTAGTTATATTTCCTCATTGCTGCTTTACATTTTGAACATTGTGGTTCATTTTAGCATTGTACATTGAAATCTTACCTGCTAGTATGACTAAGGCGTCAATTGCTCTCTTTAACTCAAAAGTTGCGGGTTTTATCTGTTCATTCCATATCTTACCTCTTCTATCTTTATCTCTTATCTGCCATACACATTTTGCAACTAACGAAACAAAGTTGTCGTAGGTCTTAAACTCCCCAGATTTGTATATGTCAGAGATGTTCTTATATACCATATCGCAATCTTTGTCCATGACTTTGTGGTTGCAATGAAATCCAAGAAACTCATAGTTAACCTTTCGTATGAACTTCTTTATTTCTACTGAGTCAGTTGCTTTGACTTCTATTTCATCGAATTCTGGAATAGTAAGCTTTTGTTGTTGGATTTCAGGCAATTTGGGTAAATGGTCAATATCCTGCATTTCATAAAGATACTGTTCATTTGTTTCATCTTTCGCACAACAGTCAAATTACTTGTTAAAAGTTCTTGCTTTATCTTCTGGATTTTTGTTTCGAAAGTATATGAAGAAGGAATGAAGCTTTTCATCTCTACTAACATTGAAGTTGGGTTCATGACTAACGAGTTTGGTGCTGTTGTTGCTAACATGTTCTTACAATAAAAATAAAAAAATATTTTTTTAAAAAAACCAACTTTATTTTTTATTTCGGGAAAACTCATGACAAATTCAAGAGGGTAGAAAAGAGGTTAGAAAAGAGGTTATATCTAACCTTCTACCCTAAAATATATTTTTGCCGAATTCATGAGTTTTGGTTGAAAGAATACGGTGGAGCCAAAAGTGGCTCGACCTCAAAACAAGCATTTTCTGTATAAAATTCATGAAAATTCATGAGGGTAGAAAAGAGGTTAGAAAAGAGGTTATATACCTTCTACCCTAAATTATATTTTTGCCGAATTCAGCAACAAAATTCAAATTGTAAACGGTTTAATAGAAAAAGTGTATTTTTTCATGTCCGAAGACTCGAAGGTGCAACACTTCCAAAATACCGACGAACTCAGAAGAGCAGCATGGCAGTATCTTGACAACTTCTTTGAGTTCTCCAGGTACACCTTGGAAAATGCTGAAGAACTCCGACACAGAGAATTTGGAGAAATTGCACTCCAATACTACCTTGACAAACAAAGGGTAAACAAAGGGTAAAATAAGACTAAAAACTTAACGTTTAAAAAGTGACATTTTTATGAGCTCCGAGTCACCGAGAAAACTTGGTCAGATGTTAGCAGCTTACTTCCCTGAGGAGGATGGAAGCGTTACATACGTAAGGTTCAAAAACAACGAACCTGGAATTGCGTACCAAATTCGCAATTACATGACCATGGAAGAGTACGAAAGGTTTCTACAAGAGAAACCAGCTCTAAACAACTCAGAAAAGAAAGAGTAAAAAGTTTAACTCGTAATTGTTTATTTTTTTACTTGTATGGGCAAGCTGCAAGAATGAAGTCGACTATCTCAGTCTTTGTCTTGACCAGTTGGACTGCTCTTGCGAGTACGTCTGTTTTGCGGTCTCCAGCTGGTGTCTGACCTTCGTAATTGCGCATGTTCTTGAGAGCTCCAACTGTAAATGGCTGTAAGATGAAGAGTCTCTCAGACTGCTTGAGGTAGTCTTCACGGTCACGAACCGAATCTGTGGTACGAGTCGAATTGGTCGACCTTAGGGAAGAGACTGAAAGCCTGTCATCTTCCATAGGGGCTGTGGCATACTCTTTGCGTAAACGGTTCAGACCTTCTTCGAACTCTTGGTCTCTCTTCGATTGGGATTGAGATTGGAATTGGGGTGGAGGGTTTGACATGAACATCCAAGGGTTAGGGAAGTAAGGCATGGGTTGAGGAGGGTAGTTTGGAAAGCCTTGTGGTGGGTAGTTTGGAAAGCCTTGTGGTGGGTAGTAACCTTGAGGTGGAAATTGGTAGTAATTCGGAGGTCCTTGTTGGAACTGAGGTTGCTGAGGAGACTGTTGTGGTGCTGGAGCATGCTGTTCCTCTGGCTGTGGAACGGGTTCAGTAGGTGGGACGTCGGACATTCGTTTGTGTCTTAACCGTCTTTGTTCTGAAACAATATAATATTGTCTTGAAAAAGTACAACATTGTCTTGAAAAAGTACAACATTGTCTTGAAAAAGTACAACATTGTCTTGAAAAAGTACAACATTGTCTTGAAAAAGTACAACATTGTCTTGAAAAAGTACAACATTGTTCTGAAAAAGTTCAAGACTTGTTCTGAAAAAGTACAGCTGTACTCAAATTTGAGAGACATTGTACTGAATTTATACAACATTGTTCTGAAAAAGTACAACATTGTTCTGAAAAAGTACAATATTGTCTTGAAAAAGTACAACATTGTCTTGAAAAAGTACAACATTGTCTTGAAAAAGTACAATATTGTACTGACTCAGTATGGAGCTTGACCCCTTAGACGAAGCAATTTATCTAATTGAGGTAAATGAAACCGTGAAGGAATATCTCAGCAAGTGCAAACCAAGCAAGTCCATTGGCTTCTGGTTGTCCAAGAATAGTGTCTTAAAGTTGGAAATTGAAACAGGTGTTGCAATTCAAGTTCCAGAAGGCACTGCATTCGATGATATTAAGGATGTGAAGAAAGAAGCCCTCTTGAAGTTCTTCATGAAACGTCCTTGGATACTACTTCCATATCGTGAGAGCCCAATTCCACGAATTACACAAATTCTCAGAGCACTACTTCACTACTCTGGACAGCCGTTCTTCATAACCTCAGAAGGCGACATCCAACCAATTCTTCAGCCAGTTCAGTAAACATCTCATTTTAACTTCACTTTTTTTATGTTTTTACTCACACTCGTACTCAACAGGTTTGTGTACAACTATTTCAACTGTGAACCTTGTATTGACCGGTCTTCCTGCAAATGCAAGTTCGGTCAATACACAATTTATGGTGGCAAGAAAGACAGTGGGGAATGTTATTCTGACATCTGTTGTTGCGCTCGAGAGAGAATTGAAATTCCAGACCCAACTCCAACACCAACACTCAAGTTGCCAAAGACTCATGTGAAGAAGAAGCCTTCTGGTAAGTTTCTTATAGCCATATACATGGCACGCTTTGAGTAAAAACATTTTTTTCATTTTTTGAATGAAGCAAGTTAAATTCGTCCCACACCAATCTCAATGGACCGATGAAGAGTTTCAAGCATGGTTGAAGGTGTTGAGAACGACATAGACGGCGAACTTGAAGGAGCTCAAACCACAATTGCAACCAAAATTGCAAGTCAAGGAACAGATAGCTCCACTTAAAGCTACCAAAGCTACTCTTGACCTCATGGATAGTTACCGTTTAGAAGTAAAGAGTGGAATAAGACAATTAAAATTAAAACTTCTAAACTACGAAGCTATACTCCAAAAGTTAGCAGAAATGAGAAGACTTTACCAGAGCTACTTACATGTAAGGGACTTACCTTCAAGCAGTCCGACCAAAGATGAATTTTCTGACATTGTCCCAATTTTGTCCGAAAGTCAGCTCAGATGTTTTGAACTGCTCCCAACATATCCAGAATATGAACGTTTGCCTGAACTCTTCCGCAATCTCAAAAAACGTTTTTTGGTTCTCATGTTCGAAACTTTTATCGGAAGAGACAACAAACGTTCAGAAGAAGAACAAGATATTATTTTAAACTTGTTGTATGACTTAACCGTCATAACAAGCTTTTTGAAGTAAAACCGTCATTCTCAAACCACTTCATTTTTTCGATGTCCGAACAAGCACCGAAGCCAAACTCAATGGCAGATGTCCTTTCAATGTTGCCAGACAAGCGCCCAGTTCAAATTCAAATTTTGAATTTGAAAGCTCATCTGACAAACACCGTTAAGACTCTCCAAAGTAGTCTTATGGAAGAGATGACCAAGCTCAAAGCCGATGTCCTCATGAACCAAGCTTCCAATGAGAAATGCCTGAATGATTTGACGGAAACCTTGCGCATTTACGCGAGAGAGAACCGAGACCTTGCCAGACTCATCTACCGTTTCTTCGAAGAGATAGACGCCATCTGGAAGGTACTCGGAAAGGACAGAACTGCAACACCGTACTTCGTGAACACAGAATTGAAGAAGGAATTGTCGAGGAAGAAGAGAAACACGAAGAAGAGGAAGAGGAAGAAGAGGAAGAAGAGAAACACGAAGAAGAGGAAGTTTGGGCAACCCTTGTTGCCGATGACACTTACGAAATTTCCCAACCCTACCCATACCAAATCCGCAACAAGGAGACAGGCAAGGTTCTTACCCCAGTCCTCAACAACTTGGGACACTTGAACCTTACCCTTCGGAATTACGGTTCAATCTCCATGGGCAAGCTTGTCGCAATTCAATGGGTTCCAAATCCAAACAAGAAGACGAAGGTCAGACACATTGACGGTGACAAGCTCAACAACCGTAAGGAGAACCTCGAGTGGTTCTAAGAGTAAAAAAATTTTATTTTAGGGGGAAACCCCGAGTAAATTTAGGTGTTTATTTGGTAAGTAGTAAATTAAGGTAATTTGGACAAGTAGTTCCGACCTCTGAATTGGACTCTTTCGTCATCCCAGTTGCGTAGGAGGTCGTCCCAGAGGAGTTGGTAGAATTGCCAATCCAAGGACGATTTGTCCTCCCAGGCATTGAGGATGTACTGCTCGTAGAGTCTCATGACCTCTGCCTTGCACCAGACACCCTCTCCCTTGGAACGTAAGGCTTCTTCGAAGTGCTCGAATGCGATTGGCTGCGGACCATCTGAAATGACACTTTTTGTCCGTTTGGTCAATGTTCGTGTCTCGTGCCATAGTCGACGAAAATACAAACAAACAGGTTATATATGAGTTTGAGACCAAGAATGGTGTAACTCGACCTGTCCGATTCAAATTCGAATAAAAATTTTTTATTTCATGCAATGTTTTATTTCTGTGCCGTCTTCAAGTATGCCCCAGTACTTACGCTTGGAGAGGACATGAACTTCGGTGAAAATTTTGTCCAATTTGAATTGACCCATCTTTTCACCGACCATTCCCATTTCAATGAGTTTGTTATAGCCTTCTTCGTTCGTCATGAGTGCGTCAATGTTCTCATAGTAAACCTTCACTTTGGATTTGACTTCGGAGAAGAATTTGTTGTAGTTGTCAAGGACTGCCTTTGCGAACTGAGGGTAAGACCAATGTTCGACAATAGGTTTTAATGTGGTTACTAAGCCACTTTGACCTTGAGTGAATTCGTACTTCAAAACAAAAGGAGAAAACCTTTCAACAAAGTTGTCGACCTTCTCATAGTGTTTACTCTTCATCTTTGAGGTTTCTTAATGGAATATCCCCATGTCGAATTCATAAGCAATTTGAGTGTCATTGCAAGTTTGGGGTTTGAAGCTTTCCTAATATCATACAGTTGTTGTATGACTTTTCCAACTGTATAGTTCCTTCCTGGGAACTCACCATCTTCGTTTGGAATTCCAGTCGGGATATATTGGACGAACCTCATGTACGCAGCGTTAAGGTCGACATAGTATATCTTTTCATCTGAGTCGAACTTGTCGCAACCAATGGGTCCAGTTCGTGGAAATTCAAGTGAGTCTCTTATCTTCTGAGAAACTTCTCCTGTTATCTCATAAACATCGTCGAAGCAACCTGTTTCATATAAAACCTTCTGACCTAACTCAGATGCTCTCCAATACAATTTGACGTCAATTGGATGTCTCAATGGAAGTTTGTTTATAGCATCTTGAAGTTCTTGCAACCTCATTGGAAGTTCTTCTGGTTCAGGTTGGTATCCGAACAATCCAACTCCTTTTGGAACTGTGTACTTCTTTTGTGCTAGAACTTTGTCTGGAACAACTTTTGGTCTTGCTAACAATGAAAAGTTTGTTTCGTCTTTTGGTACAAAAGTTTCTGTCAGCTTGTCATCTGGAATTGGTTCCAACAAACCTTTCTCGAAAAGAATGTTTACAGCTCTGACAATGTTGCACTTGCCTTTTCCGAACAATGGGTTTGTAAGACTTTCGTTCAACATGAAGTGGTTGTGGACAATTACAATCTTCAACCATGGTAAGTCTTTGTCAACAACATAGTCGTCATGTGAAGAACCTTTAGCGGTATGTTGACTCGGATATTGACATTTGCCAACGGTGCAATTTTTGCCAATTGACCTCTGAGAATGTACCTTGTCTTCACACATGACTCAAGATACTTCATCTTCTCATCTGTAACAAGACCAGAGTTCCTGAGACATGTAAGAATACAAGGTTCATTGACAATTGTTTCAATTGAATTGTAAATTCCATACCTTGTCAAGTCAATGTCAGACTTATTTATGAACGGGAAGTATCCAGCATGTTGTCTGACTGCTTGAGGGTTAGGTTGGTACCATTCAAATTTTACACTTGCAATTCCTTCAATTGCATTCAAAATGTCTGAGTCGGAGTCAACCATTTGTTCTCTCTTTGTAGTCTTGAAAGCGTCAAGAAGTTGCAGCTGTTGTGACATTGCCATGTGCATAGTAAATGTGACCGTCCAAATCTGTTACGGTTAGTCTGAGATTGTATCCTTTCTTATTTCCGTCTTGTATGCAGCAAGTACTCCCATGAAGCCTTCTTTGTTCTTTCCTTCGTCAAAGTTTACTGTAAAGGTTCGACCAGATGTAATTTGACTTCTAACTTCACGTACTTTTCATATGCATATCTTGTTCTTTCCATGGGAGCATGTGTCTTCACCTTTTCCTTTTTCCTTCTCAAAGGATGCAATTGTTCGTCATGTTTCCAGTAGAATCTGGCAAAGCCGTCGTGTCCTTCAACTTGAGGTTCAGAAACATCGAAAGGCATGTCCATAAGACGTTCTTCTTCTAACCTCTCTAGTCTGTTTGGATAATTTGCGCGTGCTGTTTCCAAGTCCATTTCATAGCGAAGACCAGACATTTGTCATAGACTTTTATGGGTCTTCCCTTCCTATATTTAAACTTCTTTGAAACTTTCCAACCATATCTTTCTAACTCTGCTTTTATTCTAGCAGATTTTCTATCCATTCTATATGGGGGCATTTTTATAAAAATAAAAAAATTTTTTTTCTTTACTTTACATAACCGCCTGCTGCCATAAGTCTTTGACGCCAACCCATACCAGCTAATGAAGGTTGACTTGGTTTAGTTTGGAAACTAACTTTGGTTTTGGTTTATCTTCAGTTTTTGGCTTCCCTTCTTCTATCGGTTTTTCGTCACTTTTCGGTTCCTCTGACTTTACCTCACTTGCAGGTATGGTTGTGTCGTCAACATCTTCATAAATATCATATGCCATTTGTTTTTGTTTTCCTTTCAACTTTTTGTGTTTGTTGTAAAGTTTAGAATATTTCGACTCTAAGTCAATGAGATGTTCTATAATGAACTGTTGGTCAGTGAAGTAAACTTTTCCATCTGTTGTCTCGAAAGCTCCTTCAGACTTCAATATTTTATTTGTGAGAGTCTGTTTCTTTTTTGAGATACTAGCCGTTCCATTTCTATGAAAAGTGACTTTGTAGTTAGGGTTTGTATTTCCAGACCTGGCACTTTCTATTATTGAATTTTTCTCTTCATCTGTAAGTTCTTTGACAGGTTTTGACAATGGTTCTGAACTTTTTGTTTGTGGTGTCAAATCTACCGTTTCAACTTCTTCGGTCATTTCATCTCAGTAAAAAATTTTAGTTTGGTTTGTTTTCAACTGGTTGTTTAGGTTTTTTAAGTCGGTCTAAAACTTCCTGAGGTATAGGAAGAACTTGACAAACACGTGGTTGTGTAACTGCTGGAAGTCGACAAATCCATCTTGAACCCATTTGTCTCAATGCTGTATTGTTCATTTCATCTCAGTAAAAAATTTACATTCCCCACGTTTGAGGCGGTTGCGGTTGGTTGTTGTTTACCCACTGTTGTGCATGGTTATATCCTCTGTTAAAGAATCTTTCACCTTGGTCCATATAGTGCCCTGCTTGGTTATAGTAGTCATTTGCTTTGTTATAGTAGTTTCCTGCTTGTCTTCCTACATTGTCCATCCATCCTTGAACTTTTCCTCTTGTTTCAGGATTTGGAATAAGATTTGCTGCATCTCGTGCTACCTCCCAACCTTTCTGTACAGTTTGTATAATAGGTTGTGCTTTCTCTTTAAGTATACCTAATGTACTCAAAATCTTCCTTCCAATTCCAAATGCACCTCTGGCTATTGTTCCCACTGCGGGCAAAAATCTGGATGCAACTCCTGCTAATGCGCCAAATAAACCCATTTCTTATAGGGTAAAAAATGACGAATCCAAACAAGGACCCCTATGTTTCTAAAGGCAACAAAGAAAGCACTCATGATAAAAATCTTTAGTTCAACACCAAATGCTTGGTTTATGGATATCTTGGAAAACATTCCGAGGTATAGAGAAGATGGACCACCATACTGGCTAATATTTGTCGGTCAAAACACAAGATACTGTGAAGCCATACCATTACAGTCCAAAAATATTTTAGATGTGAAAACTGCTTTGACAATATTCGTTGACAAATACCATCCAACAAAACTGACATCTGACTGTGAAAGTTCTTTCAAATCAGACGATATTAAAAACTATCTGCGTTCAAAAAATGTAAACCAATATTTCATTGTCGACCAAAACCATTCTGCTCTTGGTGTCATTGACAGTTGTATAAAAATCTTAAGAGACTTAAACCAACCACAAGGTGGTGAGGTAGATGAAATGTCATATGACGACAAATATAGACATTTCTCCATGGCAAAGATGAGACAAGTTTTAAATATTTACAATAGCCGTAAACAAAAAGGTTTGGGAAACCACTCCCCTGAAGAAATGAAAACAACCCTGACTTAGAGAAAGACTATATATTTAATAGTTTAGTCAAAAGAGACAAACAAGAAAGAATGCCAGGCTTCAAACTTCAGAAAGGTGAAAAGTAAAAATAGAAATACCTAAACGCGACCCATATGAAAATACTATTGACTATGACAACAATGGGAACTCGACAGGTACTCGCATTCGTGTTCGTAAAAATAGAAGAAAGTATACAAGAGAATATTATGAAGTTTTAGGCAAACATGGCAAAATGTACAGACTGCAAGCAGAAGATAAAACTACTATTGTCAGACCTCGTTTCAAACTTGTTAAGGTTCAAGGTGGTATACTTTCAAAGACAGTTCCAAACAAATATAAGACAACTCCTGACGAATATGCTAAAGAAGTGGAACATGACGACTAAGCAATTCTATACCATGCGTAAACTGTCATGTAAGGTGGCATGTAGTCTTTACTTTGTCCTGTTGTTTGCGTATATCCTGAAACGCGATGTGAATGGATTCCTCCTACATCAGTGTTATCCCAGTAACAATTTATAGCAAACTTAACGTCCTCTTTAACATCATATCCTTTACCTTTTGTCATTCCTGACCAATCCCAAAATCTATGACTATGCAAACCTGCTTCAGATGTACTTAAATTTATGTAGTGACTGTGCGCAGGTAAATTTGCACCTGAAATCGTTTTACTTCCACCTGTTTCCTTGAAGAGTTTGCACAATACAAAAACCTGTCGACTATTTGAGTCCAAGTTCCGAGACCAAGTACTACTTCTGGTCTGGTAGAGTTCATTGACGTATAAATAGAACCTATAGGATATACTGTTGAAGTATTTCTGTCTTTAATGTTTGAAGCTCTGTTTTGTCTGCTTTTTTATATAACTTTTCTTCAAGTTCATTTACGTCAGAGATGCTATGTCTATGATATTTTTGTGGGTATGTTCCTTCTGTCCATGCGAAAATACGTTCTTTTGTTGCATCTACATATCCTTTTATCCATGTCGAGTCTGCTTTTGTATTCCTTAACTCTGTAACACCTTTCTCAAGCTCTTTCAACTGTTGTCCATCTTCCATTAAACCTCTGGTATGACTTGAAACCGTTTGTGCCAACATATCTACAGTTTCTTTGTCGGCTTTAAGGTCTAAACATCCTGAAACCCACCCTGTATTGGCTTTACCTTCTAAAATCTTCGATGTCCGTTCATGGTACCATTCAACCCTTTTTATAATTTCATTGTCTTTTTCATCCACATATTCCTTATCTGCCTTCTTCACTAACCCACTAGCCAGATATGCTAACTCATCGTCAACATACTCTTTGTCAGCTTTCTTTTCAACATCCTCTTTTGTTGCATATGTTGCATCTGCTCTGTCATGTTCTTCTTGAACTTTTTCAATGACATACTCTTTGTCAGCTTTGTTGTTAACATCTGCCTTCAAAAGAAGTTCATCTATAGGTTTCTCGTTTAAAGTTCTTTTTGTTGGATTTATACAAACAGTATGGTTCTTACTGTCTTGAAACAGAAACTCATCTGTCATTGGGTTTAATGTCAGTTTTAAGTTTCCTTCTTTCAATGACTCAGATATCTTAGAATAGTTTGAAAAGTTTGTTGTGTTCTTATTTAGAGCTTGCAAAATGAGTTGTCGGTTGTGTTGTATTTCTCTCATAGACGCTGTTTCTTTCGACATTTTTATTCTAGATAAAATATGCTTCCAATAGAAAAAGAAAATTCAAGAGTTGCTACAACTAAACCATTAGATGAACTTTTTACTAATGTCGGTCAAAAGTTTGAGACAGAGACCGTAAAGCATGAAGGCTATCGTTTTGACTACCCATTAAGATGGCTAAGAGACCCATCTGTCACAAAAGCTATTGGCTTTCGTAGAATGAAGTTTGTGTCTGTAGAAGATAAAAGTTTTCCATTTATTGTAAGGTTTCATATAGATTATATATCTGAAGGGAAACGAAAAATGTGGGAAGAAATTGAGCTAATACAAGTTGACCTTTCATCTTCTCTACAGACTGCGTTAAAAAATATAGAAGATAAAATAAATTCATGTTATGCAAAATATGCTGATGAATATGCAAATACCGAGAGCACACTTTATGTGAGAATTGTATATGACAAACAAAATTCACAAGTGTCATTTCAAATCTACGAAGACAATCCAAAGAAAGACGAACAAATATATACAGAATTCACTGCAATGTCATGGTATTATTTGCAAAGAATGTTAAATCAGAAAGTCGAACTTCCTTTAGCAAATATTTACAGTCGATATGCAAGAGATGAACCATATTTATTTAAAGATGTTTTCGACCCAGCTGCTATTATTGTTCATGCTTCATTTTCTGGCGCCCAAAACTCTTTCTTATGCTTGGCAAATGACTTTTACGAAAAACCTACAAAGTTATACGAACCGCCGAGTGGAAGTATTTCAGACTTTCAAGTATGGTTTACTACAGATGGAAGAAAGAGAATAATTCCATTATACCATGCGTTTTACTTAGAACTTAGTTTCATATACAACTACTATCGAACGGTAAAAATATAATTTTTAATACGGTTGAGGTGTTGGATTTGGTTGCCAACTTGACTGTGGTGCAGGTTCAGGCTGTTGTATAACAGGAGCTTGCTCTTCTGGTTCAGGGTCTTTAGGTATAATACCAACGAACTGACCTACTCTTTTGCCAATATTTTTGACTCCGTTCCAAATTCCTCTTCCGACGGTTTTTATTCCATTCCATATACCTCTTCCAACATTTCGAAAGAAGTTTCCTATCTTACTGAAGAAACCCATTTTACTATATGTAAAAATCTAATGTCCGCCTAGTCTCTTACGTTTCCTGTTGAGTTCCATAGCATTCTTTAACTGGAGCTCATACATTCTGTTTCTCCTCTGGTAGAAAACATACTCTGGGTCAACTCCTGTGTTCGCGTCATCTGCATAAAGTTGTTTATATCCCACTTCAGGGTTTGTATAAAACTCTTTCCATCTCATATTTGCATACCATGGTGGCAAACCTAACGCAGCGTCATTTGACATGGCAGTTTGCATTTGTACATCTGTTGGCACTTGACCATAGTTTGCCATTGCAGTTTGTATTCTAACTTCATTTGGAATATTCTCTGGGTTTGGTTGTCCAGGTTGCTGTGCATTCGCTAAGTTCTGTGCGTCCATTTAATATTAGATAAAAATATCTCTTACGAGTACATATACTGAACATTTGCAGGCATTGGTTCATCTTCATATTCTCTATATCTTTCTGCCACGTCAAATAAGTAAATGACACAATGGAAAAAACCTAAAACAAGTAGTCCTATTTCAAACCACATTTACTTACTAGTAAAATTTCTTTGTTATGACACTTTCTCCAGTTTATAGGACCTCTCTCATATTCTATCTTATCGTATCTAAACTCATAGTCATGTATGTCCTCTAACCATCTCATGACACTTTCCAAACCACTTTTATCGGATGTAAAGTAAAAGCATGGATGGTTATGTATAACGTCTAAAGTTTCTAAAGAGTCTCTCAAAGTCCAGTCTACTTGGTATTGAAAATCCCATGTGTTATAGAACGGCGGGTCCACTATAAAGAAAACATTTTCCTTGTCTTTATATTTTTCATACAACTCTGTCCAATGACATCTCACAAACTCTATACCCTCAATATATTTTTCTATGTTCTCTTTGAAAACATTTGTATAGTTAAGATATAAAACTTTTGACATAAGTGTTTCAATGTCATGAACTCTTATAGCACCACTATATAATAGTCTAGCAGATATACTATCCAGTCAATATACTCTGCCTTTTTCAAAACCTCTCTGACAGTATTTTTCTTATCTAATGGTATACGTTCCATCTTACCTATAGGTATCTTTTTCTTTTAACTCTTTCAATATTTTGTTTGTGTCTGGTATATGTTTGAGACGGTTCATATAGTTGTCGAAGTCATTGCATATAATCTTTGAGTCAGGAAATACAGTATGGCACAAATGGGATATATAGAAACTTCCACCGAACAAATCTACAAATGTTAGACCATTCGGTAGTTTCTTAAGTTCTCTCAATAGAATATCTTTACATCTACTCTTATTTCCAAAGAAGGGTAACGGTGGTTTTGTAAAATTCATTTTATATATATAATAAAAATGTTTTTTTCCTGAAAAGTGACAAAATTTCTTAGGGGCTAGAGGGCACGAAGTGCCTGGAAGCCCCACTACCCTTTTTTTTTTTTTTTTTTTTTTTTTTTTTTTTTTTTTTTTTTTTTTTTTTTTTTTTTTTTTTTTTTTTTTTTTTTTTTTTTTTTTTTTTTTTCTTTTTTTTTTTTTTTTTTTTTTTTTTTTTTTTTTCTTTTTTTTTTTTTTTTTTTTTTTTTTTTATGTTTAAGATATTCAGGATTTAATACTCTACGTTTATATGCTCCTAACTTAGTTCTAAAGGTTTTTCTACAAAATTTAGGAATTCCATCCTCTTTAATGTCATCAATGATTTCCATTTCATTATTTTCAATTTCTTCTTCTCGTTTATGAGGTCTTTGATTATGACTCCATTGATTCCATGAAATTAAATATTCTTTATCATTATATTTATACCTCATTAGCTTATTTTGGCTTTCATATTCATTTAATAATTCACAATCTTCATTTTTAAATTGAAGTTTAACCCATTCAGGATTTAAACAATGTTTAATTAATCGCGGAATATCTGACATCATCTATATATAGATTCTTTTATAAAAGATAAAAAAATAAATTATTTTAAAATTAATGTTAATTTTTTTAATGATTTATAAATAAATATATTTTAATGTATCGTCTATATATAGATGCAACAAAAAAAGTCACTAAACCCGCACACATCTACTACTAATTCTGATTAGAGATAGCATCTACTTTATAGCATAGTAATCCGCATTATTAGAAATTTTATAACGATTTAATCTTTCCATAATTGCAAGACAACGTGTTGGCCATATTGAATATCCTGATAATTTGATCAAACTTGATAATTTCATGTGAATGTAACGCATATGCTTTGGCAATTCCGATGAACTTAGTATCTCAGATCTTATAAAGTAAGATTTGAAATGTCCAGACTCTATCACCAATAAAATAAAGCATTCAAAAGAAATTGATAAAAAATATCGAAAGCCTAGCTAAACAATCACCTTAAATTTTGTTATGGTGACATGACCAATATTAATTATAAAAATATCTTAAGAGAAATCCATTATTTTTAATATCCATTCTAAGGATGTCAATTTGGAAGAAAAGTGAGAAAATTCCTAAAATGCTAAAAATGAATTTTCCAAACGTATTTTTTTATCTCATTTTTTTGATTTTGAAAAAAATTTGGAGAGAAGAACTCTTCGTTTTTGAATTTTATCACGATGGTTTTAAAGTATATTAGACACATATATTGATATTACTATTTTTGTATATTTTGAGAGAAAATCCCCAAAAAGTAAGAAAATCTAAGACGGTTTGAGAAAATATATAAACTATTGAAAATTTGAATTAAACTTCTAATTTGGAAAAAAGAAATTTGGAAAGAAGAAAATTCGAATTAAACTTCTAATTTGGAAAAAAGAAATTTGGAAAGAAGAAAATTCAAAAATCGAGATTTAGACTCAGCATCAAATGGAGAACAAAATGTTTCTTCATATGAAGGAAAAAAATTTTCTTGAGAAGAAATAGAGTTTTTAAAATTTTATTGTATGTAATGAAATAAACAAATATTAAAATTATTTTTTGATAACAAGAAAATTCCCAATTTTATACGTTTAGATGAAAATAAGTGATTTTGCTTGAAATAAAAGTTATTGTTTGCTTACAGCTATCAAATAGATTTTTGCTATTTTGATTAAAATTTATTAATCAAATTAATAAATTTTTTCTAAATATCTTAAATATCTGGATCACTCACTGATACAATGAATTAAACGATAAAAATAATACAAACTCAACTAGGTTTCCTGTTTTTCAACTAAAAAAAATTATGCAAATTAAATTAAATTGTTTATTCAAATATAAAACAAAGATGAAGTAATTACAGTTATCATAAACTTTATGAATAACTCTGTAATTGGTTCAGATTTTCGTAAAAATATTTTTATTAATATCGATAAGAATACGTTTACCTACTATCACAACATATCGATAAACAAGAGTAGAGTGATTTTTATCATCGAAACTTTTTAAAAGCTGTTAGCTGGAAGTAAAAATCTTGTTTTTTCTGAGTTAGTTGTAGAACTATTGATGTACGAGTTATCATTGTGATGTAGAAGGATGTCAATGTACTGACTGAAGGATATGAAGTTAATTGAATTTCATTGAATTTCAATTTGATCAAAATTTGTTGAAATGATATGAATGTGTCAACATCTGTATCACTCTCTTTCACTCCTTCCCTATTCTTTCGAGAACGAAGCTAGCTCAGCTTTCGCTGAGCGAATTGACACTTTTGATGCCCTAAACGTACATATTCTCAAATTTATCGAAAAAATTATACCACCCAAACTAGTATATTCTTATTTTAAATATGATATTATCCTTAGAAATCACACTAGAATATATTTAAATCAACTTTTAAAAAAGTTCGAATCCTGCGCGTCTCACTTTTTAAATTTTCCAAAAGGAAAATTATATTCTCCTAAAATGAAAACAATTTTCCGAATTGACATCCTTATCCATTCAACACTACAACGAGTAAGGAGTTAATCGATCCATAAGTGATAGGACAAACTCCAAGAGAATCTAGTGACAAATTTTTTCTGACAATTTATGAAACAATTGTGAGAGCTTCAGAAAAATCGAATGATATCGAAATCAAGACTTTATATATAAAATGAAATATCAGTCTTTTTATAAAAATTTCATGAGTGTAAGATTTGATTGGAATTTGATAAACTTTATCAACAGACGTTACTCGGTTTCACTATCATTGTTATACACTACTATCACATACGAAGAATAATAATGTAAAATTAGTTTTTGAAGCTACGGAAAAAACAGTTCACATTGTCCTTTTTATAGTCACTTCACTTAAATGTCTGATTGCTCTGACCCAGCCATCCGCGAAGCCTACGAGGAAGTCCGCAAGGATGATGTCGACACAAACTGGCTCCTCATCACATACGCTGAAGGATCAGATAAAGTTTGGTCACTTGTTGGCAAGGGCAATGGTGGCCTTGATGAGTTAAAGGAGCACCTTAACGAGAACTTCCGTGGCTTCGGCTACCTTCGCTGCACAACAGGCGATGAGCTCTCTGTTCGCTCCAAGTTCGTTTTCATCACATTCTGCGGTGAAAAGGTTCGCCTTATCCACCGTACAAAGCTTACAGTTCACAAGGCTGATGTTCTTCGTGTTATCGAGCAGGTTTCTATCTCAATCGATGCCTCTACACTCGATGAACTTCACATGGACGACATCAACGCACGCCTCTTCAAGGCCGGTGGTGCTCACTACAACCAATAAATAGCGGGTTCTTTTATTTAACATGATTTTACATATTTAAATATTTATAAATAAATTTCAAATTCATGTGATTTTCTTCTGAGTTATCTCAGAAAAACATATTCTTTGTACTATAAGTTATTGAATACACTTTGTTATCTCTTCATAATTATCGAATATTTATGAATAATTTAAACAATAATTCTTGAATATGCCAAAGGAGACATTATATAGAAATTTAAATGTTACATAACCTATAGATCTATTCTTAACAAATAATAGCTCTTACAAGTTCCATAATAAAATTGATTGAAAACGTTTTTCCTTAACCAATTAAAATTATCAGTATATTTATATATGACAAATCAAATTGAGTAGAATGATACATTTATTCCTGGTTAATTTGAAAAATAAAAAAATTTATTTTTTAAAACAATAAAGAAATTTTAAAACAAGAAGAAATTATCTACAAAAAATAAAAAAGAATATAATAATAAAGCTTACAATGTAATATTACAATTCAAATACCGCAACTTCTTTTGGATTCGATGGCTTCAAGTCAGAATTACTGCAATCATTCTGCAGTGAGTCCAATGAACTTGGAATGTGCTCATCTTCGTCAGGAACCGAGAGAGTTTCCGCGTGTACAACAGTTGCATTCGCGCTGACGAGGCTTTTTCGCTGAATGAACGGTTGCATCGGTACTTCCTCGCCCTGGGCCATGATGCATGGAAGGGAAGAAGCGACGGATTCGATCTGTGAAGGGAATGTAGGGAAAGCAGGGGTTGCGTGCACAACAGACTGGTTGGGAGATAACAGGGAAGATCGGCCTTCACCAAATGATTGGCTGGAACCGAAGTTCGGAAGAGATGATGTCCGATCATCAGTAACAGGGCTGTCAAAGCCGAAAGATGATGAGAAATCAGGTAATGTAGAAGGAAGCGAGTATAAACTTGAATTTTCGAGGTGCTGTGAAGCTCTGTTGTTTTGATCCAAATCGTGAGCCGATTTGATCAAAAAGTTGGATGACGGTATGTGGTTTGGTGTCTGGACAGGTTGTGGCTTAGGAAGATCAAGGCCACCTCCCATAATATTTATATCCGGAGTAGAAACGTTTAATAATTCGCTCATTTCTGTTTTTCTGTTAAGTGTTTCGACCTGCTTGATGAATGGGTGATTTAGAAGTTCCGAAACCGTTGGCCTTTCCTCTGGATTCGACTTCAAACAAGTTATAATGAAACTCGTGAAGATCGTTGTATGGTTTGACGGTTCTCTCAATCCGCAGAACCCACTCCTTGAGATTTCTATCATGGCCTTTGTTGGAGGGAATTCGACATATGGAGGTGCTCCTTCAGCTAATTCGACTGCTGTTATGCCAGTACCCCATACATCAGACGCGTATGAGTATGGCTGACCGCTGATGACTTCTGGAGCTAGCCAGTAAGGAGTACCTATAATGACGTTTGATTTATCTTGAGTATCGCTTTTTCGGATGCTTGCACCGAAATCGCACAGTTTTATTTCATATTTTGAATTGAAAAGTAAGTTTGCTGCTTTAATATCTCGATGAATTATATTATATTTGTTGTGTAATGCATCCAAAGCCATTAATAAATCGTGCATTACAATAGCTATCTGTTTTTCGTTCAATACTTGGTTACGAGTATCTAAAATTTGTCGCAATGATCCTTTGTCACAAAATTCCATCAGCAACATTCGCGAAGTTTTTAGATGCACGCATCCATAATATTTGATAATATACGGGGATCTTACAGTTCGAAGTATTTTCATTTCTTGTTGGTATGTTTTTTCATTTTGTTGGTCTAAAAAAGAAGTATTGATGATTTTTCCTGCAAATGTTTGCTGAAGAACCTTGTTAAGGACTTCACAGACAATGCCGAATCCTCCTTTTCCGATACATTTGATGGTACAAAATAAAGAATTGGGATCGGCAGTGGAATCAAAAGTCCAGTTCATGTCAGTATCGATGTGAACCCTTTGGTATATCTCGTAAGGGTTACTCAAGCCTTGCTGGATTTCTCGACTCCTCTTCATAAACATACAAAAAAAAATTTTGCGCCGAAATATAAATTTAAAATTTCTATTAAGGTTGCACACGAGAGGATCATGTAAACTTCAGAATTTAGAACCTTATTTTTAGGCATTATCTTGGCTACCTATTTAGGCTCGAAAAGCAAAAAATATCAAAAAATACAACTTGACTCCATTATGACCCTTTCATGGAGGTAGTTTTTATCCGCTAGTATTTTCCCTTTGAATCTCTTTACAATTCGAAATCAAATTCAAACCTCAGTAGAAGAAAGGAAGAATCGACTTACTACGGTTGTAATACGAATAAATACATATATTTAATTATTTTTATTTACATAATAATTGTTTGAAGCTCATATTCCATCAAATTTTTAAATAAAAACATTAAAATGTTGAAAATGTTCATATATTTTAATAGAATTTTGGCACTTTATTGAGGAATTACTACATACATAGTCGAACTGAACTTGATATTTTGAAATTTAAATTATTTATCAAAATTAAAATTTAACTTGAAATTTATAATTATTTAGTCATATTTTGCATAATTCTAAGTAGATTTTGTAAAAAATCAAGAAAGAAAAATTTTAACGTGCTTTATTTTTTCTTTTTTATAATAATACATATTATTATATAATTAACATATTCATAATGTTTCACCCTTTCAAAAATATAATCCTCCTCCTCTCAAATAAACGTACATACGGGTGGCCTCTTTTTTCAAAAAATTAAAATTTGAAATTTTTGGCTCAAATATTAGAGATTTTTTCAACCTTCAACGATATATGTTGTCTATATCAGACCTCCTTTCTTTTTGATACTTAACATTGTTCCTAAATCTTAGCCGTTAAGGCTGTTCTGAAAATATTTTTTTTTCGAAAAAATTCGAAAAAAATTCTTAAAATTCAAAAATCCCTTAATTCCTGAGGATTTTGGAAAAAAGTTTTTACATGAACATGTGTATATTATATGAAGTATATTGATAAGGTAAAAATCAAATTTTATTGCATATTCATCGAGAAAATAAACTAACGAATCCCTCAAAATTGAGAGGGTAATCCTCCTCTCAAATAAACGTACATACGGGTACACCCTTAAGAATGATTTCATTATCTGTTATAAAATAAGGATATAAAAATATAGAAATAATTGTAATAATCGCAAGTTGAAGAGAACTGAAATTTTCTTAGAGGTTTTCGAATTCGAATAAATATGAAAATTACCATACATAGGAGAGTAATATTTTCATTCACTACTCAGTCAATTTAGGAAATTGAGAACTTACAATTAAAATTTCAAGAGGGCATTATCATGCAGATTAATGATTAATTTATTTTTTTGTGAGATTAAGGTTCAAAATTGAGACAAGTGTAATTTGAATCATTCAAAATTTTGAGAAATCACCGGTCTGATTTAATAATGGACTCAAATATTTTTCATCTTTGTATTAGCGTAGATTAAAATTTAAACTCAAAATTGTTTCACAATCGGAAAAAAAATTTAATCTCAATCTGAAAATTAATGATCATCTTTTTATTCCTCTACTAACATTCATATATAATTTAACGTTTTTGAAGAAAAATGGAATTTGCTAATTTGAAGCTGTTGTAAAAAATCAGATTTCAATGTCATATCAACTCCTACATTAGCGTATACATGTGTAATATTTTGCAAAATGGAATAAGACAAAATACTCAATATTTCGATCTTCTTGAAATATATCACCATGAAGGGGGTGAAAATAGTTAACTCATGAAGTTGTAAATCACTTACAAGAGGATGCTTATGTGGTCAATTCAAGCTGTTATCCTTTACTTGAGAATTTGCTTTAAATTTCAACCTGTGATGCAGAATGGCATAATCTATATCCAATTTTAGAAATTGTAATTGGAATTGGTGCCATATCAAATTAACTTGCTAAAATCAATTTTTACATTTTCATTGTTATTTAGTCGATGAGGTTGAGTCAAGAGGCTGATGCAAAATTAAAATATTTCATTTTTTTAGTCTTGATTGAGTATTTATTTGCATATATCTCAGAATTAATAAAATTTTGTACAAGATAATTTGGCTAAACGAATTTTTATGATAGAGAAGTCTATAAACAGAAGGAGGATGCTCCAAATCAAGTATTTCAAATCAATGACGATTAGGTTGAAATGTATTCTTTGTTTCTTACCAACGATAACCTCATATATCAGAAAGAACCTTATGGTGTGATAGTCTTTCATTACAGTATGGTAGTATTTGATTCACTATCTTATACAAATGGGCAATTATTTCACTATAATAATTCTAAAATATCGAGAACCGACCGGACTGTAATTACACCACTATATCAAAACCATAGATTTATGATAGGAATTCAACAGTGATTATGATTCTTTTGGAAAAACACAACCCCAATCGATATTTTTGACCTGATATTTTATGATCACATGATTTTAGTGCAGAGCATCTGAAATTTGTTCGGAAATGTTCTAAATCCGCATAGTGTCAATCCATTTAAGAGACTATTTATAAAATTATCCTTGGCCAATAATCTCAAACAATTTTAGAAATTTGTCTTACAAATAATATAATTTTCTTGTGCCTATCTCAAATATGTGAAAAACATCATTAAAAAATAGAAATATTTAAATGAAAACAAAGAAATAAGCAAAAAATCATTAGAAACATATCTACAGATACATTAAGTATTGCTTTCACTGAACTATATTGGATGGTAATCGACAAATTTAATATGAAATATCTTTTTGTAGGGGATGCAGTTGAATTGTTATAATGAGCAATCTAGCATAGAAGAGAGAAATGCAATGAGCAATAAGTAAGTTTCATAAAGCGAAATTAATCTAATAAAGAGTAAGATTTCAGAATGATTTGCTCATAATCGATATTCGCTTACTAATATACATATCCAACACAACCAAAGTTTGCAGTCAAATACGGGATAAAGTTAAATTTGATCATGATTTTATTACCAAACAAAAACGCAAACAAAATAATTACCAGTTCCAGCCATGCTCTGTAAGTTGATTGCTATAGAATTCTCTTGCTTCGGTTACAGACGAAAATGATGGTTCTTGTGGCTCCGAAAAGATATCATATTGTGGTTCTGATCTCCAAGCCATTGGAAGGGGTTCAGTCGATAAGTGAGGTACAAGCTTCTCTTGTGGAAATAGCGTAGGATCGAAAACATCATCTTGTTTCGGTTGTATTTCTTCCTCTTCATTTTGGAAGAAGTTATTGCATAAAGACACAACTCTAGGTTCATCTAGTATTCTATCTATCTTCGAGTCCATGATTTTTATAGCTTCTATTGTGATTTCTTCTATCTGATCAGAAAGTTTCTTTCTATTGTAATATTGATTGTTCTCTGATTGTGTATATACTGCTAGGCTTGATCCTTCTTTTATGCCAATCTCGGCTATGGTCTGTTTTTGATTTATTACTCTATGATCGTAAATTATTAAAATGTCGTCAAGTTTATTCTTTAAAGATGGAACAAGGCTTAAAGCCTTATGAATCTTAGTGTTCCTGTTTGCTCGGAGCTGGATTGCTGGGCTTCCGTCAATCACAACTGAGAACGCAAACATTTCTTTATTAATTTTTTTTATCGTCGAAGATTTTGAGATTTTGGGGCACGGTCGATCTAAATTTTTAATAAAATTATTCCTCATTGGATCTAGATAAAAGTTATCATATATTTTCTTTTCAAAAAGCAAAAGGTGAAAAATCTAAGAGTAGGGGTAATTTTAGCTAAAAGCGACACGCCTGTAAAAAGTGACACACCCGTGAAGGGTGTGATTACCGATCGGTAATTTCGACAGTTTAGAATTTAAAATTTTTTATGGAACTGTTGCGAGTTTCATAAAGAATTTAAGGAATATAAGCAAAGATTTGAATCAAAATCTTAGACCTAAGCCGCTCGATTCGCTCGCGGCTTCCGCGAATTACAGATCAGCAAAGATTTGAATCAAAATCTTCGAACTAAGCCGATTGCTTCGCTCGCGGCTTTCTTTATTATTTTAAATTTGCATATTTCCATCAAAAGTTCATAAGGTAAAAAATTTCGTTTATTTTTACTAAAAAAAAAAGGTTTTTGATAATAAATTTATTTTATTTCGAAAAAGTAGCAATAATCGTAAAAGGGTATTGATAGGCTTGCTAAAGTAACTAATTTTAGCTGTCAAATACTTTTGTATTTTGAAGTAAATTAGTATAAATTTGATATTATTTTAACTCCCTTTGAAAACCTCAATTTTCCATACAGAGGGAACGGGAATAGCATCCAATATTCCCTGAGAATGGTTGCGCATTCTCAGTTCCCTCTATATTTCGAACGAAGCTCTCATCGGTCTTTTTTTTAATACTAAACGTTTTTTTCCCTGTCACTTTTAGCTAAAATTTGGGTTTGCCAAAATCTAAGGTAATAAACACCCTCCTTTATAAAAATACTAATAGTATGATTACAGTTTTCTGAGAAAAGTTCATTCAATTTGACCATTCCATGATCAATTTCAATTTGGTTGCATGATTGATCGAAAAACCTTAACATTTTATGCCCTTCTTGTTCAAAACATGAATAGCTACAAGAATCAATACAAATACTATCTTGATCGACCATACGAAATAAATTCAACATTTGCATGATATTATCCATCAAGAGTCTACTTAAAATGTTGATGATCAGAGGTGGGGAAGTAGATATATCATGTGTTCAATTCATATATTCAGTTTTTATCCAACCGATAATTTGTTCATTGGTTATTTCGAATAATTTCAATCTCAAATGGCATTATTTTAGCTATATTTCAAAATAATATATCCATAAGGATATTTTATGAAAAATTTAAAAAAATCACATTGTTTATTCAAGAATATTGTCTTTGATGAACTCACAGACTTCAACAACTGTATATTCACGTTCATGTTTTGTCATAATCTGAGGAAGGATTGACGGATCAGCTGATTTCTTTCCTTTTGTCCTTTCTACAAGTGGTCGCACGAGACAGACAACATCAGGAAGGTCATATCTGTCAACATTAAGAGTTGTCAAAATTTTTGTTATATCCGGCTGCATAAGTTTAATCTTTTCCTCGGTGGCAGCAATCATCATGTGAGAAATGACGGTTCCTAGCGTCTTAACAGACTGCATATACTTTGCGTCAGTCCAATTCTGAGTAATAATTCTCAAAATCGTGAAAGCGTTTCCAGGAATAACAGGAATAGCAGAAGCTCCAGCCCAAGTTAACAAGAATGTGCAAACATAGGTAACATCCCTCTGACTCCAGTATTTTCTGAGAATGTCAGTTAATTCTTCGTAATTATTTGGACTTTCGAAGTTCAAAATATCCTGAGATACCATTATTGACAGTCCTTTTGTCTCTATTCTTCTTATTGAGTCAAATAAGAACAAAATTGCAGAAGTCAGAGAAAATTTCGATCCTGAAATTGCAATTAAAACAACAACTTCATGCAAAAAGATCAGAGAACTCGTGTACAATGGAGAATGCAACGAATCTGCTTCAGAAAGTGCCTTCAAAACACCTTCAACAACGCATTCTTCACCTCCATGTTCTTTCATGATCCATTCGAATGTTGTTGTGATTGTTCCTGCATCATTTGATTTCTTCACTGTTTCAACGAATACAGGAAGGTGTTTCACAATTAGTTTGAGGAAATGATGATTTCCAGCATAAGTCATCACGAAAATAATGACAGCGGCGAATCCTCCGATGTGTTCTGCTGTTGCATTCTGTCTGACAACACCTGTTAGAATTGGAAGCATCAAACCGACAGTTGCCAAATCTCCTGCTTGAGCCGCATTCATGAAACCATTGAGGAATTCGGATGAATGTCTTGGCTGGAAGAAATTGGAGAATAATGTCCAAAAGTCCGAAGAATATTTCGTCAAAGATGTCGCTTTGTCTGCACAAACATCCAAGAACAATTCTGCTGTGAGAAGAGAGAATTTCTTCAATGTCATCAACAACATTTCCATTTGAGAAGTTGTGAATTCCGTTCTATATCTGAAAGGAAGAATTACGTTGTTAGCAACGCAATTCGAAGGTTTCATGACGAATAAGTTCAAGTCTGATGAAGGAACAGCAGCATGGGAAACAGATATTAATAAAGGAGGAATCATATAACTCTCGTAAAGAGGATTGAACCTCAAAAAGATTGCCCATGAAAGAATAAATTGGATTTTATCCATCCAACAGACATTGAATCTCTGGACATCGTCTTCAAGTGTGTATATGTAACTCATGCATGCTGACGTTGCAAGTTCTATTGGTGTTGGAACAAAATTGTCAAAAGTCATTTTCGGATCTTTGATAATTCTCAATTTCGAACACAAATATTGACTTGTTGCCTTGGAATTGATAAGGAATGATCTATGGAAGGCAATGCATACAGCGCAAAGAATCTTTGTGTTTGTTACTGAGTCAACTTTCGACAACAAGAATTCGAAAACTTCATTTGGTCGAATTGAATTACTTTTGAACAAATTGTCCCATAAACAGATCAATGGTTTGATTGGAGATAAATCAGTGAAATCTGTGATGGAAGTAAGGTTCAGAAGCTTTTCAACTTGGAAATTACTTGTAATGTTCCTAAATCTGGTTGAAATGAAGTTGAAATGTGGTAATTCGTTCTGGTGAAGTCTTTTTTTACCAACAATTTCAGGGAGAAAAGTGAAAACAAGTTCTTTCGTTTTTTCATCGAGATTATTGTTGAAAAAGTCGACAACACGCTCTTCAAAGAAAGGATCTAAGTAACACAATGGAGAGAACTCCCCTCCAAATGAGCTATTTGCGATTTCTGCGGCCAATGCACGGCAAACAATATTTCCTTTGGAACAAAGACCGAGAGCAAGAATTGCCTTGTAGAGGGGTTCTGAGTTTGAGCGCACAATGGCTGCTGCAACATGACTTGTTGTGAATATTGAAGTTCTGAAGCAACATGAAATGATTGTGCTCAAATTATCTTGATTCTTCTCAACAAGGCTCTGAAGAAGCTCATGACACTTGAGTTGGAGAAGAATAGAACCTTTTGTCTTCAAAGCAATGAAAGTTGTCCAATCAATGATTTCTTCCATTGCATCATCAGTCAGTTTCCATGTATCGACATACGAATGAACTAGTTCAAGGATAGAGAAGACATGAGAGATATCAGGAAGCGTGATTGAGTCAGGGTTTAATCTTTGGATGATGTTATTTAAGTGTGAATAAGGATCTTTGAAGAAAGGATGATCTTTGATGACTTCTGAATTCGCTCGAATGAACGTTGCATAGAATTCTGAAGCTAAAACATCCAATTTTTGTTGATTTTCATTGGAAGGCATCGGTAAGTTCAAGAATACTTTAACTAGTTCAACGAATGAGTTCCTGAGTCTCTCATTTTCACGTGTAAGATCCTTGAATTTGATGACTACTGACATTGCATTCGCAAATTTGAACTTTAATCTTGGATTTAAGTCAGAAATGTTCATCATTTGATGGATGTAGACTGGCCAGATGGATAAAGGAACAGATCTTAATAAGATACATAACTCTTCTTGTTCAAGATTTGATAAAATCATTAACAAGCGATTAATTCCTTGGATTTGAAGCTTTTCGTTGCTGATAAAGTATTCTGGACGTGTAATTGTGAACAAATACTTTGCAAGGCCAAGTTTGAATTCAAAATTACTACTTTCAAGGCTAATAAAGAAAGTAATGATCTGAATATATTTTTCTTCGATGTAGCTTTGCATATTTTTGTTCAAGCACATGACAGGAAGCATTGAAATATCTTTAATTTTCAGACTGAGCTGATTTGTCGATCTTTCTTGAGCAAGAGGGCTCCTTGTGAGATTCCAGATATCTTGTATTATGCTTTTGACTTTATCAGATGGGAAGAACGAGAAAGTAATCAAAATTGTTTCTGTTACGAAAAGAATCTTTCTCCATTGCTTCGAATCGATGACTTCTATGCCTCTACTTCCGAAGAAAAGCAATCCTTTGAAGAATAAATAATAAGATGACAAAATATGAAGAAGTTGTTGTATTGAAACATCGTATTGAGTTCTCTTTAAGAAATTTTCAGCAAATGATGTAATTGTTTCAATTCCAAGAGTTCCTATTGGATAGTTCTCCAATACATCTGTGATAAAAATCGCACAATTTGCTAGAATTGCGATATCTGTATTGTTAATCATCTTTCCTAGTAAAGATATAATCGTATCTCGTAAGCTTGACTCATATTTCCATATGATTGGAAGAAGAGGAGCAAATAATTTGAATAAATCTTTCGAAATTTCCGATTTTTGATTTAAACCCTTGAGAAATGGAGCCAAAACCATTGTAATTCCTTCAATATACTCAACTTTGATAGTAATGATCACATGAATTGCGTTGATTATCTTTTCAAAAAGAGGATGAGTTTCTCCAACTTGAATAATTGGTTCAAGAAACTCCATGAAGGCAATTGGAGCACAGAAATGCATCTTTGGAGCTATTAATATCCAATATTCCATATCATTTGCATATTGACTATTAGCATTTCCATTCTTATCGAACCATGATTTCCAGAAAAACTGAGTAATCTCTTGTGCAAAGGATTTATCAACAAGAGCTTCAAAGAATAATCCAGCGAGTTTGAAGTAATTCATTCCTCCAAGATTTGTATAATTCTTATTCAGCAGATTTGCAATTTTTAAGACTGTTGAACCTGTTTTCTCTGGATCAGATATCTTGAGGATAAGGAAAAGGCAAGTTAACCATTCATCATTTGGATTATCATTGGCATATTTATACAAAACAGGATATAATTCAGTAGCTAAGCATTCAACGGCGTAGTTTTCCTCTTCATTTTCATATGCATTGGAGAAAGTTCTTGTAACAAATGAACAAATAGGTAAAAGTGCCCAAGATCCTTTTAATTGAGAAATAACTTGGACCATATTTTTCATTGTTTCCTTGGAAACACATCTAAATGATTCAACATTCTTCACAATTGCAAGGAATAAGTTTTGAACTTTCGGTTCGCACTTCATTTGAGCAAGATTTGAGATGATATCCCAAATACCTGTACTGATTGATACATTGACGGACATAAGGTTGATCATTGCACCTTCTGTTCCACTTCGTTGTTTCCTCTTCATTAAAACATTGATTAAAAGTTCGAAAACAGAACTATGCAGCATAACAAGATCTTCTTTAGGTGTTTGCTTGACAAAGCTATTTAAGTAATCGAGCATTGATTGAATGTAGCTATAAAAAGTCTTTGGAATATAAATTCCAGATTTAAGGTAAGTTCTTTCGCGTTTGACAGCCTTATTTGGTTTTATTGTACGTGATGCAAATACTATGATGTTTTGTATTGAGTTTGCAACTGAAGAGCTGATTAAATTGCGAGTTCGATCTGTTAGGAAAGTATTTATATGGAGTTCAATAACTTTTTGATGCATTCTGATATCATCTGTGCTAAGATTATTGAAATCTTCTGGTATTTTCTTGAAAATACGCGCACAATCAAAATCATTTATATAATCTAGATTTGCTTCTAAATTTTCTAAAACTTGTTCGCGTTTGAGGCCTATATCCCTCAATAAGCCGAATAACGACACTGCAGCCCATTCGCAAATTAAAATCCTAAGTTTTTGATTAATATCCATATAAATAAAAAATTGAATATTTGTAAACATCAGAAACCAATATTTTGAGGCGAAAAAATGTCGGCTTCCTGAGGATTTGGTGTGTAAAACAAAAACTAGTGAATCTATGAACATAAAATTTTTTAGGAAAATTGTTTACAAATGTCCGATGATCTACTGCATAAAATGATGAAAACAGTTAAATATTTCTTTTATAGGGCGAAATAGAAGTTAAACATTATTTCTTGTTTATTCTTTCTTTTAATAGTTTTTATAAAAAAATAATTCAAAACAAGGACATATTATACGATAGTTTTTTTTACATTAAGTCCCAAAACCATGTTCATATAAGTCTGATCCATTAATACTTCATTCTTGAAATAAAAAATTTATTTCTTGGAATTTTCAATAGAATCGAACTTAGAACATGATATTTGATAGTTATATTGTTGCATGCTAAGTTCGGTCAACGATAGAAATTGAGTGGAAATTAATCGTCGAGGAAGTACGATTATGTAAAGTAAAAAAATGTTGTGGGATTTTTAATATTATATATTATTTTATAATAATTTTTTTTGAGTCATTTTAAGAAGCACATATAATTTTTTGAATTTAAAAATTAAAGTAGTGTCAAACGAATTTATCACTTAATTTAATACTCAGATTTCTTAAAATTAATGAAAAAAGGGTTTTCTGAGAACTTTTGAGAATGGTTTTCAAATTCCATTATTGAAAATATATAGGTATTGTATGAAATTCAAACTCTATATTTATTAAAATTCTAAATTTTTAATAAAATAACTTTTCAGAGGAATATGATTTTGAATGGTTGATTAATAAGTATAAAAATGTCTACGATTTTAAGGAGTGAATTGTTCCTTATGAGGTATACATCATAACTATATACCTCATAAGGAACAATTCCCTTTGATAGCTGGGAAACTTTCTCTGAATAACTTATCATTTGGAGAAAGTTTCCCAGCTATCTATTAGAAACTAAAGGCTGTGAGGCACTAATATATAATCAGTGCCTCATAGCCTTTAGTTTCTTATTAAAAACGAGAAAACTTGTTCGAAATGATAAACAATTTCGAACAAGTTTTCTCGTTTTAAGGAGGGAATTGTTCCTTATGAGGTATACATCATAACTATATACCTCATAAGGAACAATTCCCTCTTGATATCCTGGATATTTTTGAATATATTTTTTTAATTAAAGTTCTCAAAAGTATTATCAAAAGTGATTTTTTAAAAATATCTCCAATTAATTAACTAATTAAAAGTATTATATTTTTAAAATTAAATAGTTTTTCAATTTTTTTGAAGGAATTGAGATACTTGCCACGACAATAAAATTGAGAGGTTTACATTATGACTGATCTTAGCATGCAACAATATTCTTGATCTTAACAGTTTTGACAATGATAAACCAAAGAAATTAACAAATCAAAAAGGTAACTAAACTCCTTTCGCCGATCCGATTTGCCCCATATTTAAAATATAGCTTGCATATGTAGAAGGAAAGCTAATTTTGAAGTACGCCCGAAATCCACCAACAGGATTTCGAGCTACTAAAAAGGTACTTTTAAATGTGATTTTTTTTATAAAAAATTAAATTTATTTTAAGATCAGACTAAAAACTAATTTTATGGAAAATCTATATCGACAAATTTATTACGTATTGGGTATATAGATTTTTTGATTATGGCGATTATGTCTGATATGCTTCCAATAAGCCAAAACAGTGTTTTTGGAGTGATTAAATACAAAAAAATCTGGCGATGCTTTACGTGGCAAATGGTCGAATGGTTATTACCCCTTACTATTGGGTACCGGGGACGCTAGTTCGAAACTGATGCACTATATTTTTTTACAAAATGCGTTTATTAGGACAGGGTAAAGAAAGGTTGCCAATATAATATATTTAAATAATACAACTAATCTAGCATAAAAAAACTATTGAATATTTGAATTCAATAAAAATTTATATAAAATACATGTAAAGCATAAATTACTATATAAATCAAGCTGTATTTTGTTTTAAACACCGATTGTTTCATATAATATATATTCAACTCAAGTTTCTAATTAAGGATTTCATATAAAATTTAGCATATGATCAGCAACAATTAAAATTAGTATTACAATTAATAAATTTAGTATAAAAACATATAGATTTAGTATAGATTTTATAGCTGTAATAAAAGAACTATTATAAAAGAGTAATTTACTGAAATGCACCTTATATTTATAAACAAAACTTATAACGTGTTAGTTACATATAGAGTTGAAATTCATAGATAGCATAGAGAAGTTGGGATCTTGGCTTAATGGTCATAATATAACCAAATTAATTCAAAATTTGAAATTTTAATATTACTGTAACTATAATATATGGATATGTTTTATGAGATCATAATAAATGACATGTTAATGTAAAATTTAGAATAAAAAATTATATTTTTTTAAAAAAACATTGTTCATGAGTATTAATTGGAGAAGTAGTAAATTAGTTCAGTTTGCAAGTGATTGTTGTGCATGAAAATTCGGTTCACTTCACTTCTGACAAAAGTGACAAGTTTACATGGCAAAAATAGTTTACATGGCAAAAATATATAGGGTATTTTTTTTAAAAGTAGTTATCTTTATATATAAAAATAAAACTTTTGATATAAAAAAAAAAAAAAAAAAAAGGTAGTGGGGCTTCCAGGCACTTCGTGCCTTCTAGCCCCGTTGATGTTTAGTATAAAATGAAAGTCTTTACGAAGAAGAACTTTACAAAACATAGACAAGAAAGTTCATGAGGAACTCTCAACAAAGTCTTTACGAAGAAGAACTTTACAAAGTCTTTACGATGAACTCTCAACAAAGTCTTTACGAAGAAGAACTTTACAAAACATAGACAAGAAAGTTCATGAGAAAGTCTTTACAAAGTCTTTACGAAGAAGTCTTTACGATGAACTCTCAACAAAGTCTTTACGAAGAAGAACTTTACAAAACATAGACAAGAAAGTTCATGAGAAAGTCTTTACAAAGTCTTTACGAAGAAGTCTTTACAAAGTCTTTACGATGAACTCTCAACAAAGTCTTTACAAAGTCTTTACGATGAACTCTCAACAAAGTCTTTACAAAGTCTTTACAAAACATAGACAAGAAAGTTCATGAGAAAGTCTTTACAAAGTCTTTACGAAGAAGTCTTTACAAAACATAGACAAGAAAGTTCTTGACAAAGTCTTTACGATGAAGAAGTCTTTACAAAACATAGACAAGAAAGTTCTTGACAAAGTCTTTACGATGAAGAACTTTACAAAACATAGACAAGAAAGTTCATGAGGAAGTCTCAACAAAGTCTTTACGATGAAGAACTTTACAAAACATAGACAAGAAAGTTCATGAGGAAGTCTCAACAAAGTCTTTACGATGAAGAACATTACAAAACTTCATCGTCAATGAGTGTAAATCAGGCAAAAATATATTTTAGGGTAGAAGGGTATATCTACCCCGTTTTCTACCCTCTTTTCTACCCTCTTGAATTTTCATGAAATTTACACCAAAAATATACTACTAGGGTCATTTACGAAGAAATCTCAACAAAGTCTTTACGATGAAGTCTTGACAAAGTCTTTACGAAGAAGTCTCAACAAAGTCTTTACGAAGAAGTCTCAACAAAGTCTTTACGAAGAAGTCTTAACAAAGTCTTTACGAAGAAGTCTTGACAAAGTCTTTACGAAGAAATTCATGAAAATTCAAGAGGGTAGAAAAGAGGGTAGAAAACGGGGTAGATATACCCTTCTACCCTAAAATATATTTTTGGGTCATTTACACTCATTTACGAAGAAATCTCAACAAAAGTCTTTACGAAGAAGTCACAATAAACATCTGTCAAAAACCGCTTTTTAACTTCACTTAAAATGCCACGTAAGCTACGTAAGAATATACGTAAGAGGAAGAGAGCATTGAAACATCCAATAGTAAAACTGACACCACAACAACAGTTGCAACAACAAATGCTGAATGACCCCACTATGTTGCAACAAATGTCAAGCAATCCTATGCTTTTAAACCGAGTTGTTGGTGCACAGAGTGGAGGTTTAAGAGCGGCACTTTTAGCGAAAATGGCAGGCTATGGTGGAGCTGCAGACGGAACAGCCTATAACCCTCAAAGTCAAATGATTTGAGTTCACTCAAAAATCAAATAACAGATGTCAAAAAGTCAAACATAGACATACAGAAGCAAAATAGGTGAAAACGAAAAGAAACTAGAATATGACAGACACACAAAGAAACTCAATGAGTTAAACGTAGAGAAAAAGAAAGAAAGAAGAACAACTGAAAGAACTAAGTACAGAGGAATATGCGAAAAAAGTGTCAGAAAAAGCAGCAGAAGTAGCAAAAATGGAACAAGATGTCATAAATTTGAAAAACCATACTACTCAATATAAAATACTGAAAGATGAAGAGATAAACAAAAAGCCCTGAAGACATATATGGATAGCGATGAGTATAAAAAAGAAGTTGAAGCAAATGTAAAGGCAGAAAAACTTTTACAGTTGCAAAACCAAACCGTACAGTATGAAAACTTAGCACAAGAAAGTAAAAATAACGACGCGGCTATGCAAAAGGCAATGAAAAGCGCAGAATATATAAAAGCTAACAATGACTGGTTAGATGCCCAAGCCAACGCTAAAGCAGCTCAGCTTATAGGGTCAATAAGGACAAAAATACAAGCGGATGAAGACAGTTCAAATGAAGCTTTAACAAATGCTGACTTTAAGAACGCCTTCGAAGCTCTTCATAGTAAGGTGAAACAAGTGAACGACTTCTCATCTGGAAAGAAACTGAAGTCTGAAGGTTTCGACAAAGAGTTAAGAGAAGTAGCACAAAATATGACGAAAATAACAGATGCAGCAACGAGACAGGCAGTTCAAAGTGCCTATGACGCCGTTAGAGCAACTGTTGTGAAAAGTCAAGAAAAAGAGTTACAACAGACCAAAACAGACCTAGTAAATGCTTTCTTAAAAACGAAAAGTCAGGTAGGACATTACGCTGCAGATGGAACATATGTGCCAGCTGGTGGAACTTATATACCACCAAACCCTCCAAGAGAAGCACCTGCACCAGGACTACCTAGAACATTTACATCGTCACATGGACACAGACACAGGCATGCACAACAACCAGCACAACAACCAACAGTTCAAAACCCTGCACAACAACAACAACAACAACCAACACAACAACCAACAGTTCAAAACCCTGCACAACAACAACCACAAACAGAGCAAGGACATAAAAGAAGTAGAGAACAAGGAAACCAAGAATTCTTAAAAATGCTTAAAGAAGAGTGTGGTTTCCCAGATACTGTTGACTTTAGTGACAGATATAAAGAAGCTATTAGAAAGTTCAAGGATGGAAATACTGACCCGAACCTATTTAGCTTTATGGCTCAGCACCAAAACGGATATAATCTCAAACCTGGAAAATACAAGCTCGCTAAGGGATATGATTTAATAGCATATCATCCAAATGACATGGATGAATTTACTCCGAGATATTTGATGTCAGAGCTAAATGACAATTCAACTTTCGTCATGAAACGCGTAAAAAATAGAGACGGAACGAAAGAACAAAAGCTTATGAATGCGGATGACGTAGATAGGGAAATTGTTGAAAATGGTCTCGGAATATATGAAATGCCAGCAGATGAGGTACAAGAAACTCCACAGGAAGAAGTTCAGATACAACCAGACATGGAAGAAATAGTTCAGCAACAACAGCTAGAAGAGCCTGAAGGAAACGAACAAGTCACTCCTTTGGAAACTAACTTCACAGAACTAGATGAAGATTTGGAACAGCCGAAAAATCTTGACCCTCAACAAGAGTATGCGGAGAATATGGAATATTTCCAAGAGTCAAAAAAAAATTCAGCTGACATAGTAGAAGAATATCGAAAAATGTTTGCCGACATACAAAAGACTCCAGCACCAGATGAAAATATTCAGCATAGAATGGAAGTACTGAAAGAAAATGTACACAAATACAACAACCCTTTTTACTTACGAGCATTTAACGTTCAATCTTTGGATGAACTCGGTGAAGATAAAAGGTTAAATTTCAAGAAAACATATAGAAATGAAACATTTTTAAAGTTCATTCAGAACCTAACCAAGATGGAACAAACCTACTTTTGTTTCTGCAGACGATGGAACTACAATGAGATGGGGTCATAAAGCTAATCCAGATAGGTGGTTCATAAACTTACAACCACAATTCCAAGAAGTTGTAGACGCAATGGAAGTCAATGGTGAACGAGATATAGCTGGTATTTTAAGCGCGGCTTTAATGCCATTGAAAGATATGAAAGATGCAGATATTTTGAACCAGTATGAAATGAACATGGCTGATGGAAATATAACACCTGACGTTCTAGAACATTTATCTCAAAGAACTACACAGAACCATAGAGATGGTATATTTGGTGAAGAGTTTAGAAAGAAAGTTAGGGAGAGCGAAGGAAGAGAACCTATTGTACATGACCTTGCAAATGAAAGTTTGCAAAATGTCATAAAAACTTACTTTGCAGACAATGAACTGAGAAGGGATGAATATTTAAGAAAACTCAAATGGACAGTACCAAATGAAATGTTAGTATTGAAAAACATGTTCCTTGACAAAATAAAACCAACTACAGAAATAAACGACGCAAGACTGAAAGATTGGGTAAAAGCTTTCCCATTCACAAAAGATATAGTTGGTAACATGGAAAGAAAACCAGAATGGCTACAAAAACATATATTTGGAAACGAGCTTATTCCATATGGACAGGCACTGTTTGAAGAGCTTGAACCAGAAACTCAGGACAGAGTCATGCAAACAATACGCAAAGACTCAAATACAGACTATGACAAACTCTTTCTAGGATATAGGTTACCTGAGATGGGCGACCAGAGCCAAAAGGCAAAAAGGACATGGGAAATTTACAACATACTAGGTGAACATGAGGCAAAGATGCAACAACTTGAAGCAGAGGGCAATGAAGGAAAAAGAAGAGTTAAAAACTCAGTCAGGAAGAAAGTAAAGCTTGGTCCACGTGGGTTCTATTATGACATATAAATCCAACTATTCTATATTTTTACTCATATGAAATGTACGCCGCTCAGAATATAACGCCAACAGTTTTGGATGCTATGAATGGAAATGTTTCCGAATGGTATAACGAATGCGACAATGCCATTAGAAGGTCAGAAATAGTTCCTGGAACTTACGAATATACAACTGCTGTTTCTTATGGAAATGTAGGTGAGTTTGGAGAAGGTTCTTCAACAACAGTAGATATTGCATGCGACAGGTTTCATATAATTTCTATTGACAACTCTTTCTTATACGTGGAGCAAGACATTGAAATAAAACCTTCTGCCAAGTTGTCTGACAAGAAAGGTTGCAATGGAATTTTCTATGTCGGATACCAATATGCTCCAGAAGTTTTCATGGGATATAAGATATATTCTAACTCTGACTTAGTTCAAACAGTAACATGGGCAAACTATGAATGGTTCGCTTTGAGAAACTCAGTACAACCACAAGCTAGAGAACAAACAGACCAGTATGCAACTATTGAGAAAATAAGAAGACTTGACCCTAACGTTCCAGGAGTTTATGTTAACCTTTCTGGACAAACTGCAGCAGCAGTAACCAAAGTAAAATTGAAACTTAGAGTTCCTTTGTCATCTTTCCTCATCTTCAGGTTTTTAAGATACTTGCCAAACTGGGCAGGAAAAATTTCTATCGAACTTACTCCAAGCAAAAATAACTTAGTCATTGCACCAACGCAAGACCCATTCACTCTTACAGAAGTAGTGGGAACAAATAAAATGTCATTCGCCGACTTTTGCAAAAACAAAGTTGACTTAGACTTTGGTTTCTCAAACCTCAACACTGAAGTAAACTATTATTTCAATGCTGCTGGAGATGCTTGGGACCCAGTTAAGTTCACATGCGAAAAGTTTGAATGCAAGAGAATAGAAAGCAGACTTGCAGTCTATATGTTGGACCCAGATATTTCAAATGCTTTAGCTGCCAAATATATTGCAGTTCCACTTATGTTCCCTATACACCAAATATCTGTCAAAGACTTTGCAGGTGAAGTTGGAAACCAAAGTGCTGACCCAGGTGCAAGAACAGATATTGCTTTAACAACTGCAATGAAACATGCAGATACTATGTTTGTACTGTTCAGACGAACTATAAATGACTATTCTTGCTTCTACAACCCTGGTATTAAATACCATATAAACATAGATGGCAAATATTATCCAAGAGAAGAATATTCTACAGTTGAGGATATGAGGTCATACAACTTGACATTAGATGCTATGAACTTTAACAACAACTTCACAACAACCATTAACCCTGAAATGCAAAGTTCTATTATGCCATATGTGAAAGTATGGACTCATACAGGAGGTCAAAAAACTCAATATACAAATGGAGACCGTTCAAACTTTTGGCTTGGCATTCCATTTGCTGACTCAGAAGACTTTATGGGTGGTATTTCAACTGTTGGTACAGTTCAAATACAATATACTGGTGACAGAGACGGTCCAGATGAATTGAAAGCAAAGAAGTTTACAAAACCAATAGCACTTTTCACGGAAGATGCTCTTTTGAAGATTCGTTCGATGAAACCTGCTGGGGCTCCTCAGATTGGCATAACGACAGCTTCCATCGAGCAGATTTTGGCAGCAGGTCAGTAAGTTGTTCTTGAACTGACTTCTCTCCGTCAAATATTGACAGTACGCCAGTTTTGACATAGTATTGTATTATAAACTTACCTTTAGAAATATCGGTCAGTTTTGTTGTTATATTTTTGTCTGCTTCAAGAACTTTCACCATCTCGGTTATACCAACTTTCTTTGCTTTATGAAAATATTTTGGTTCAGCAAAGACTGCTATTCTATAACATTTTCCATTGTTTGTATAAAGAACTATTCTATCAATGAACTTGTATTGTTTGTGTGTGTAAACTTTGTTTTGCTTCAATTCGAAAGAGATACTCAAATACGTCCATCTTTTTATTCTAAGTAAATGTCATTTCCGAAAAATAGAAGCGTAAGTGTTTCAAAAGGTTTAATGGCGATGGCAGATGTGAAGTTAAATTCACCAACTCAAACAAACAGTCAAAGTGTTGTTGTCAATGTCAAAGAAAGAGATGTTGAAGTGGGAAAAACCATACGAAGACGAAGATGGTATAACAATAGGTCCTGTAAAAGCAACCAACATACCCTGAAGTTAGCAGAGACTTAAGTTCTGTTGCAGATATTCGAACGACTACCAACAACTTAAAGACAAACTTAAAACTCAGGAGAAGATTTGTCAAGCTTTGGGTATAATGTTAAACTTGGTCGAACACAACCCTGTAAAAGTGAACTCATATGTCATTGCACCTCATGAAGTTTTGAAAGAACTATTGAAACTTTTGACAGAGCAGACGATATAAACATCAAAGAAATAGAACCCGACATTGCTTGCTGTGGTGTTTCATACAATGTCATTGACAAGATATACGTTATGAAAGGAGGTGAAACGTTGAACTTAAAATATAGTTTCCCAGACGTCATAAAAATATTTGACGACCACAACATTTCATTAAAATTTACTTGCTAAGTAAATGGCAGAAGACATAGTGTTTATACTATTACGACTAAAAACCCTGAGTCATATAATTCTATAACAACAAACTTACAAAGTCCTCAAGGACGATATTGTAAACTGACCTTAAACACGATGACGACTAAAGCCTGTTTTGCTCTTTTGACACCAGAAGACTTTGTTGTTGTGAATGGTAAAAAATACTTCTTTGAAGATACTTACTCAGATATACCACCAACAGGTTTTGTTGACTTATTTAATACTTTAAGGACGGATGTAACATGTGCTGCAACTAGAGCAGGTTTCATTATGTTTGGATGTCCGACTGAGTTTAGTATAAACGATATGAGCTATAATACAAAACTTATATCTGGTTTTTACTACCAACAGTTTCCTATAACAGGAAAAGGTGTCATACAAGGAATGTCTATTCCATTGACATTAAGCACACCAATCTTATATATTGTTTCAAACTTAGGTTCAAAGTGCTATTCGAATATCGACAGAAACTACTATGACCAAAAGATACTCATGCGTATAAACAATACTTTCTCTGCTGGTTTGCCTATTGTTCATTCGAATGCAGAGTTTTCAGCTTTAGTAAACTCAAACACTTTAGCAAACATAAACTTAACCTTAGTTGACGCAAACTTTGTTCCTGTAAAACTTTTATGTCCTATGTATTTGTCAATGACGGCAGAAAGTTTCGAATTGGAAGATGCAACTGGTGAAAGTATTGTACTACAAGAACAACTTCAACAACAAATAGCTCAAGAACAACAAATGCAACAAATGCAACAACAAAGTCAAGAATAAAAAAAAATATTTTTTTTATTTTTATAAAAATGTACAGAATAGACGTTTCAGATTTTTATGACTTCCAAGCGTTCAGAAATATGTGTCCATTTAGAGACTATAACAAAGCAGTCGAGAATTTGAAACGTTTAGTCATTTATGTCGACTCTGCCCAGAATGTTATGTCATGAAAGAATGGGATGTTGTCTTTAACAAACCAAGAGCAACCATAGTTTCAGAACAAGAATGTAGACAGAAACTTAAGAAAATAAAAGTTGTACAAGTTGGAATGAAGATGTTAGATGCTTGGGATATCTTATTGTCAAAGTTAGAAGATTTTTCAGTTCGAGGTATAAAGTTCTATACACCATCTCCAAACTTCTATTCTATCTTCACTGGATATAAATACGAACAAGTAGAATGGAAAGAAAATGTTATAGAAGCTTGGTTAGACCATGTCAAAGAAATTATATGCAATGGAAACGAAAGAGTCTATGAGTATATCTTATGTTGGTTTGCAAACATCTTACAACATCCAAGTGCTAAAAATGAAACTGCTCTCATTATAATTGGAAAACAAGGAACTGGTAAGAACACTTTCTTTACAGATATTTTGTGCAAACTGTTAGAGGGCTATTCGAATCCGAATATGACAAACTTAGAAAACATCTGCGGTAAATTTAACTCTTCAATAGAGAATATGAAACTTATAGTATGTAACGAACTTCAAAGTATAGATACAAACAAAGGTTTTAAACTCAGATGCTTTGAAGAGTCTTATAACAGACAAAGTTGGAGTTGTTGAAAGAAAATATAAAGACCAAAGAGTTTGTGAAAATGTTGCAAATTTCATCATGGTTTCAAACAATGTTGTTCCGATGAAGTTAGAAAGTTCTGACAGAAGATATGTAGTTGTCAGAACGTCAGATTCTCATATGCAAGATACAGAATATTTTGATGACTTAGCAGAAACTTTGACACCTAACTTTTACAACCACTTGTTCTCATATTTCATGACATTAGATATTTCTAAGTTCAATCCAAGACAAATTCCATATACCGAAGAGAGACAAACATTGTTAGAAGCAAACAAGAGTGTATATGAACTGTTTATAGATGAAACTGACTTTGAGTGTTTAGATGAAAGGTCATTGTACGATTCGTATAAACAATATTGTCAAGAGTATGGTTATATGGCAGCTTCTAAACGTACATTCTTGGCAAATGTCAAAAGTCTTTTAGATGTTCAGAACGGCGTATATACAAAGAAAAATTTTTCTGAGTAAATTTTAAAAAAATATTTTTTTATCCGATAGAAAAGATGACGAAATTCATCTCAGTAAATAAGTACATGACAGAAGTCAAAGATAAGTTAGCTCCATTCGCATATTTGAATGTTTACTTCTACAATTTTGAAAAGTCTACATTTGACAAAATTTGGAACATTGCACCAGTTAAGTTTGCTGTTGTTAGAAAAAGTGGTGCTCTTATATACGAAAAAAAGAGATCTGACATTGTGTCAGATCTCAGTAAAAGTGACATTTACATGTCAAAAAAATAGAATGAGTTTAAGTAATTAAAATTGAGGGTGAGAGTAGTATTGTATGAAATAATATCTCTCACCCTCCAATTCATCCTATGGCGCCGAAAAAAATTTTGGTGAAATGCGACCACATTTCACCAAAATTTCTCGGCGCCATATAGAGAACTAGAGCCTGTGAGGTACTGATACTATCCATGTACCTCGCAGGCTCTAGTTCCAAGCCAAAATGGCTAAAAATTGCCCGCAATTGTTCACATTGCGGGCAATTTTTAGCCATTTTGGCTGGGAATTGGAGGGTGAGAGTAGTATTGTATGAAATAATATCTCTCACCCTCCAATTCATCCTATGGCGCCGAAAAAATTTTGGTGAAATGCGACCACATTTCACCAAAATTTCTCGGCGCCATATAGAGAACTAGAGCCTGTGAGGTACTGATACTATCCATGTACCTCGCAGGCTCTAGTTCCAAGCCAAAATGGCTAAAAATTGCCCGCAATTGTTCACATTGCGGGCAATTTTTAGCCATTTTGGCTGGGAATTGGAGGGTGAGAGTAGTATTGTATGAAATAATATCTCTCACCCTCCAATTCATCCTATGGCGCCGAAAAAATTTTGGTGAAATGCGACCACATTTCACCAAAATTTCTCGGCGCCATATAGAGAACTAGAGCCTGTGAGGTACTGATACTATCCATGTACCTCGCAGGCTCTAGTTCCAAGCCAAAATGGCTAAAAATTGCCCGCAATTGTTCACATTGCGGGCAATTTTTAGCCATTTTGGCTGGGAATTGGAGGGTGAGAGTAGTATTGTATGAAATAATATCTCTCACCCTCCAATTCATCCTATGGCGCCGAAAAAATTTTGGTGAAATGCGACCACATTTCACCAAAATTTCTCGGCGCCATATAGAGAACTAGAGCCTGTGAGGTACTGATACTATCCATGTACCTCGCAGGCTCTAGTTCCAAGCCAAAATGGCTAAAAATTGCCCGCAATTGTTCACATTGCGGGCAATTTTTAGCCATTTTGGCTGGGAATTGGAGGGTGAGAGTAGTATTGTATGAAATAATATCTCTCACCCTCCAATTCATCCTATGGCGCCGAAAAAATTTTGGTGAAATGCGACCACATTTCACCAAAATTTCTCGGCGCCATATAGAGAACTAGAGCCTGTGAGGTACTGATACTATCCATGTACCTCGCAGGCTCTAGTTCCAAGCCAAAATGGCTAAAAATTGCCCGCAATTGTTCACATTGCGGGCAATTTTTAGCCATTTTGGCTGGGAATTGGAGGGTGAGAGTAGTATTGTATGAAATAATATCTCTCACCCTCCAATTCATCCTATGGCGCCGAAAAAATTTTGGTGAAATGCGACCACATTTCACCAAAATTTCTCGGCGCCATATAGAGAACTAGAGCCTGTGAGGTACTGATACTATCCATGTACCTCGCAGGCTCTAGTTCCAAGCCAAAATGGCTAAAAATTGCCCGCAATTGTTCACATTGCGGGCAATTTTTAGCCATTTTGGCTGGGAATTGGAGGGTGAGAGTAGTATTGTATGAAATAATATCTCTCACCCTCCAATTCATCCTATGGCGCCGAAAAAATTTTGGTGAAATGCGACCACATTTCACCAAAATTTCTCGGCGCCATATAGAGAACTAGAGCCTGTGAGGTACTGATACTATCCATGTACCTCGCAGGCTCTAGTTCCAAGCCAAAATGGCTAAAAATTGCCCGCAATTGTTCACATTCCCATCTTTTGTTGGTAAGACGAAGAATATGAAATAAATTATGAAGAAGATAATGATGAATAAAATATCACTTTTTATATTTTTGACACGTAAAGTTGTCACTTTTCTGTCAAACTGTTTTTATCGTTTTCGTATATAACAGTGCAACTTTTGAAGACTTATACATTGACGGTATGTTGACAGTCAAAGAAAATTTTGACAGAAAGTTCTCAAAACTCGAAGAAGGTAAAGCATACAAACTTGTTATACCTTATGAACCAAAGAAAGCAGACGACTATGAATATTATGAGTCTAAGATAGTTGAAGTTCAAGGTAAATTGGGTAAAAAGATTTTAGAGTCTAAGCCAGTGTTTGCTCCTAAAGAGGAAGAGAACATTGACATTGACCCAGAAATGTTCTAAAAATAAAATTTTATTTTTACATGTCAAATTTCTTCTTCTCTGGCTCTGGTTCTTTCTTCTCTTCTTCTACTTTCTTTTCTTCTACTTTCTTTTCTTCTACTTTCTTTTCTTTCTTTTCTCTCTTCTTCTTCTTCTCTGGTGGAGTTATGTCAAATTTGGCGCAACCATATTTATGTAAAAGTTCTTTGTCCTTTAATAGCTCATCTATTCTGTTTTCTATTTCATCTTCAAGAACAGCGCATGTGTCTTCTTTGCATTCTAAGAACTTTTGTTGGACTTCATCTTTCCAATCGGCGTCATCTCTGTCAACAAGTCTGTCATTGACAAACTTAAAGACTTCTCTGCTTAATGTTTTATGGTTCTTGTCATATTCCCAGAAACAGAACTTTAGAACAAATTCACCTTTCTTGTTTACACTATGTAAGATTTTATGGTCGACAGAAGTTTTAGAGTCAAAAAGCTTGTCTCGAATATAGATAGCGAAATCACTAGACATTTTCTAAAAGATAAAAATTTTAATTTTTCTAAAAATATGTTAGAAAAAAAGTTTGCTGACATTGACAAGAAATTTGAGAATGTTTTAAACAAGAACAAGAGGAAGTTAGAAAATGCTCAGATAAAACCCATACATGAAAAGTTCTTATTTGCTCAGAATGGTATAACAGGTCTAATCGCACCACCTGGGTCGGGTAAGACTTTCACTTATCTTAAAATGGCTGCACAACAACAAGAACTAGATGAGAAGAACCCATTCTATGAGTTAGTAGTCATTTGTAGTACTTCTGGTCAATTTGACCAAACCGTCAATTCGTTCAAAGATATTATAAAAAAGTCTAAGTTAGTATGTATAAAAGACTCTGAGTTGTTGGATTGGATAAAGAAGTACCAAAGAAGAGTTTTGAAGTACAATGCTATAAATGAGTATGTCAATTCGAAGTTTAAAGACCCAAATGAGGAAATGCAGAGAATATTAGAGAAGAAACACTTCAGAAACAAACAGAAAGAGATAGAATACATTTCGAAGAAATTGCAATCTTACGATTGGAAGACTTACCCTCATAGATGTCTTCTTATCTTAGATGACTTTGCTTCTCATCCTTTGTTAAAGAACAGAGAACAAGACATGTGTCGAATTCTCAAGAAGCTCAGACACTTTAACATTTCAGTTGTCATTTGTGTACAGACAGCAAAGAGTTTAAGTAAGGATGTTAAAAGAATACTTACTGATATCATACTTTTCCCTGGATTGTCCGAAGACGATTTCATGGAACTTATGAAAGAGTCCATGGCAGGTAAGTTTGACAGACATGAACTATGGGAGAAGTACAAAGTCATACAAGACCCTCATACTTCTTTCAGAATTCATATCTACGCGAACAAAGTTCAAATTGTAAAAAGTCAAGCTTGAAAAATGTAAGTGTTTGAGTCTTAGTCTGTTGTGGTGCTGGGGCTGTCGGTTCTTCTGGCTTTGGAAGACATTCAGGAAGAGGAACGTCGGACATTCGTTTGTGTCCTGTCGGAAGGAAGAACTTTTCCTGTTGGAAGGAAAAACTTTTCCAGTTGTCGGGAAATTTTTTTCCAGTTGTCGGGAAATTTTTTTCCTGTCTGAAGGAAAAATTTTTTCTGTCGTTCGACCAAAAAGTTCTCAATTTTCGAAAATTTGAATGGTTTACGGACGAACAACAGGAAAATTTTTTCCAGTTGGAAAGAAAAACTTTTCCTGTCGGAAAGAAAAACTTTTCCTGTCGGAAAGAAAAACTTTTCCTGTCGGAAGGAAGGACTCGGAATGCCAGAAGGAAGGACTTTTCCTGTCGGAAGGAAGGACTCGGAATGCCAGAAGGACTCGAATGCCAGAAGGACTCGGACAAGACAATTTACCTTATAGAGCTACCTGAGCCATCTGAAGTCAAGCGTAAAAATAAATGGTTCATCTACTCTGCTTGTTTGAAGTTGTCAAAATACTCTGTTATTTTTTCCTTTAACAATGGCAAATCTTCTTTGAAGGTAAGTATTGTACAACCTTTAATATCATAGTGTGTTTGAGGTAACGTATCTTGAACTATTTGTTTCACATCTTCATTTGGTTCATTGAAATCGGTAAGTTTTCGCGATAGAACCAATTTCTGTCAGATTTGTAAATCTTAGCAAGGTCGTAAAAGCTTTTGTTGTTTCTTCTGACTAAATGCAACATAACCATATCTCTGTCTTCTTCATTTTCCATCTCTTCAGTATAAATCATATACTTATAGTTCTTTTCCTTTCCTTTTGGTACCGAACGTGGTATTCTTTTCTGTATGGTTTTGTCTTCTTTCATCATATCTTCTCTCTGCTTTGTACAAAGTTCGTCAAGAAGTTTACAAACATCCATGCATAGCGAGGCGAAGCCCACATTGCTATTGAACTAACTAGGAACTTATGAACATATATACCTTTTAGATGTGATGGTAAGTTTTGTCTGTCTTGGTACATCTTTTTAAGTTCTACATGTTCAAACTCACTGAGGAGTTCATGAGTGCTATTTAATTCAAACCAGTCTTGTGGTTTCTTAGTATCTGGTGTAGCACATGCTGTCAAAATACTTTGCATTTGGTACATGTCATCTTTGACCGAACGAATGAGACGTAACTGTTTGTTTAACTGAACCCACTCATATTCTTCATTTATAGCTTCATGAACGATAGCAGTTGTTGTGTTCTCTGTTGTTGTCATATCTGTTCTTACATACAAAATAAAAAAATAAAAAAAAATAAAATTAGCGTTATTTTCTATCTTTCACAAAAGACCAAAAATAAACGCTTTACATGTATTTTTCAGCAACTTCGTCAAATAATTTTATAGCTTTACCTATCTCATCTACTTCAAACGTTTCTTTACCTCTCGTGGGAGCACCATACATTTTCTCAAACTTTTCAAGTAGTTCTGTTTCAGCAGCTCTCATATCGTTAACAAACGCAACCTTAACTCTATTGACTATACTGTCATATCTTTGAGTTATATTAAATGTTCTTCCTATCTTATATCTTCTTTGTATTGAAGTCCTTCGGTTTCTGAACGATGTAAAGTAAGCCTTCACTGCAACGTTCCGTATCGAATGAACCATATGTTATGAAATTATATCCAACAACTGGGTCAATCCAGAACAAAACTACTGGTATAAGACTTTTGTCGATGAGATATGCTCTTGTTCCATAGAATCTTACCGATATCATAAGCTCAGGATTTCTTGTCAAAATTTTCTGAGTTGAAGCAATTTTAACCCAGTCGTGTGCTTTCTTTCCTTCAGATAGTGTTAAAATGTCTGACAAAGAATATTTGTTGTATTTCTTTGAGTATCTTACGTTTAAATCACCAATTCTAACCATTTTGGTGTCATTGTCTATCTTTTTAACTGTTTCAAACTCAGTGTTTGACATTTCCTGTTCTTACATACAAAATAAAAAAATATTTTTTTAAAAAACTAACTTTATTTTTTCTATCTTGTATCTTAAGGAAATTCATGAAATTTGGTCATTTTTTTCAGCAAAAATATATTTTAGGGTAGAAGGGTATATCTACCCCGTTTTCTACCCTCTTTTCTACCCCAGTTATTTTATAAACGTTTCACATGGTAAACGTTATTTTTTAAATTTTGTGAAAACTCAACGGTTTGACACAAGCCCTAAAATATATTTTACTCAGAATTCAATAAAAATATATTTTAGGGTAGAAGGGTATATCTACCCCGTTTTCTACCCTCTTTTCTACCCCAGTTATTTTATAAGCGTTTTACATGGTATATGTTGTGATGGTTCATGACTTTAAACAGTTTTGTAGCTTCTATTTCTTCACGAAGGATATCAAAATTTTAACTATGCCGAAGGTTTCTTTATATTTCTTCTTGACATCTGAAAGAAGGAAATCGTTAGCAGTTGATAGTTTTTGTTCAGAAATGTCAACATGTCCATTTTATCTTCTGCTGGTTTCTCTACTTCTTTCTTTAAGTCAGTATGGTCTTTTCTCATTCTTTCTATCTCTTTGACGGAGTAGTTATATTTCCTTGTTCTGCTTTACATTTTGAACATTGTGAGTTCATTTTTGCGTTATATTCTGAAATTTGTCCTCTAAAACAAGTAAGGCGTAGATGGTCTTCTTTAACTCAAAGGCTGCTGGTTTTATCTGTTGGTTCCATACCTTACCTCTTCTATCTTTATCTCTTATCTGCAAGACACACTCAGCAACTAACGAAACAAAGTTGTCGTAGGTCTTAAATTCTTCAGATTTATATATGTCAATGACTTTGTGGTTGCAATGAAATCCAAGAAACTCATAGTTTACCTTTCGTATGAACTTCTTTATTTCTACTGAGTCAGTCAGTCTGACTTCAATTTCATCGAATTCTGGAATAGTGAGTTTTTGTTGTTGTATTTCAGGTAGTTTAGGCAAATGGTCTATAATATCTTGCATTTCATAAAGATACTGTTCATTTGTTTCATCTTTTGCACTACAGTCTAAATCTCCTTGGAGAAGTTCCTGCTTTATCTTCTGGATTTCTGTTTCGAAAGTATATGAAGAAGGAATGAAGCTTTTCATCTCTACTAACATTGAAGTTGGGTTCATGACTAACGAGTTTGGTGCTGTTGTTGCTAACATGTTCTTACAATAAAAATAAAAAAATATTTTTTTATTGAATTCAGCAACAAAATTCAAGAGTTTTGTGTGTTTTCTACGAGGGTAGAAAAGAGGGTAGAAAACGGGGTAGATATACCCTTCTACCCTAAAATATATTTTTATTGAATTCAGCAACAAAATTCAAGAGTTTTGTGTGTTTTCTACGATGGTAGAAAAGAGGGTAGAAAACGGGGTAGATATACCCTTCTACCCTAAAATATATTTTTGTCGAAAAAAAATGGTTCATTTACTCACAATATTTTTGTACAAAACGACCCCAAACTTTTAACTTCTTTTCTGCAGCTTCTAATGCTATCTTAGCGAGTTCATATTCTCTAAATTCTCTCTTTAAATCTTCTTGTTCCCATTGGTTTAGTTCGTATGGCGAGTCTCTATAACCAGAACATATCTCACGTTCATGTTCTATTTGTTTTTCATGCATTTTTCTAACTTCTTCTTCGAACAAAGGTTTTGCATTCTCTACTGTATCTTCAAGTTCTTCTTCATCTAACTTCTCATGAACTTTCTTGTCTATGGAGTCCATAATTTTTCCAACTGCTATACAATATTTTGGAGAAGCCCACATTGCTATATAGTTTACAAGTCTTGGGTCTACATACATTCCTCTAACCTGTTTGATTTCATCAGAAATTCCTGCATGAATTTTGTATAAAAAGCAACCCGCCGTTTTCCGCGGGTTGGTATATTCTTCACAAAATGCCTTAAAATACTCTTCCCAGGACTTATTTTCCAACAACCTTCTAAAGTCTTTCCTAAACTGCTGACACATATTTGTTGCGTTAATATAACCATCCATGTCTCTACGTAAGACTTCAATACCGTTGTAAGTGCCTTTTGTGAATGTTTCGCCATTAGATTTGTTCGTGAACGTTTTTGCTTCGACTGTCATTTCAGTTCTTACAATAAAAATAAAAAATATTTTTTGGTGGGACGTCGGACATTCGTTTGTGGCTTAACCGTCGGACCACAACGATAAAAATCTCGACAAAACATATACGATGAAGTCTCGACAAAACATTTACGATGAAGTCTTAACAAAAAATATACGATGAAATCTATTTCCTGTGTTGTTGTCAAAATGTCATGTTGTCACACTTTTTCAGAGAAGTTAAAATGACCGAGTGACCGAGTGACCGAGTGACCTGGTCGCCTAAAATATATTTTTTTCTATCTTAAGGAAATTCATGAAAATTCACCTGTTGAACTTTGTATAAAAAGCAACCCGCTGTTTTCCGCGGGTTGGTATATTCTTCACAAAATGCTTGTTTTGAGGTCGAGCCACTTTTGGCTCCACCTCTTTTTTCAACCAAAAACTCATTTTTGTCGAATTCAGCACAAAATTCATGAAAATTCAAGAGGGTAGAAAACAGGTTAGAAAACAGGTTAGATCTAACCATCTACCCTAAAATATATTTTTACTGAATTTAGCAACAAAATGAACGAGGTCAGGATGTATGTTGCTGAATTCATTCATAACACCCTTTGTAAGCTCATAAAATGTTTGTTTTGAGGTCGAGCCACTTTTGTTCTTTGTTTTTCAACCCGAAGCATTTAATATATGTAAAAATATATGGTTTTAAAAACGTTTTTACTTCATGCAATTTTTTATTTCATGCAATGTTTTATTTCTGTGCCGTCTTCAAGTATGCCCCAATATTTCCTTTTCGATATTACATGAACTTCTGAAAATACCTTATCTAGCTTAAAACAGCCCATCTTTTCACCGACCATTCCCATTTCAATGAGTTTGTTGTATCCTTCTTCGTTCGTCATGAGTGCGTCGATGTTCTCATAGTAAACCTTGACTTTGGATTTGACTTCGGAGAAGAATTTGTTGTACTCGTCAAGGACTGCCTTTGCGAACTGAGGATAAGACCAATGTTCGACAATAGGTTTTACTGTGGTTACTAAGCCACCTTGACCTTCGGTGAACTCGTATTTCAAAACAAAGGGGGAGAACCTTTCAACAAAGTTGTCGACCTTCTCATAATGTTTACTCTTCATCTCTTGAGGTTTTTTAATGGAATACCCCCATGTCGAATTCATAAGCAATTTTAATGTCATTGCAAGTTTGGGGTTTGAAGCTTTCCTAATATCATACAGTTGTTGTATGACTTTTCCAACTGTATAGTTCCTTCCTGGGAACTCACCATCTTCGTTTGGAATTCCAGTCGGGATATATTGGACGAACCTCATGTATGCGGCGTTAAGGTCGACATAGTATATTTTTTCATCTGAGTCGAACTTATCGCATCCAATCGGACCAGTTTTTGGAAATTCAAGCGAGTCTCTTATCTTCTGAGAAACCTCGCCTGTTATCTCATAAACATCGTCAAAGCAACCTGTTTCATATAAAACCTTCTGACCTAACTCTGATGCTCTCCAATACAATTTGACGTCGATTGGATGCCTCAATGGAAGTTTGTTTATAGCATCTTGAAGTTCTTGCAACCTCATTGGAAGTTCTTCTGGTTCAGGTTGGTATCCGAACAATCCAACTCCTTTTGGAACTGTGTACTTCTTTTGTGCTATAACTTTGTCTGGAACAACTTTTGGTCTTGCTAACAGTGAAAAGTTTGTTTCGTCTTTGGTACAAAAGTTTCTGTCAGTTGTCATCTGGAATCGGTTCCAACAAACCTTTCTCGAAAAGAATGTTAACAGCTCTGACAATGTTGCACTTGCCTTTTCCGAACATAAGACTTTCGTTCAACATGAAGTGGTTGTGGACAATTACAACTCTTCAACCATGGTAAGTCTTTGTCAACAAACATAGTCGTCATGTGAAGAACCTTTAGCTGTAGGTATGTTAACGCGGATATTGACATTTGCCAACGGTGCAATTTTGACAATTGCCCTCTGAGAATGTACCTTGTTTTCACACATGACTCAAGATACTTCATCTTCTCTTCTGTAACAAGACCAGAGTTCCTGAGACATGTAAGAATGCAAGGTTCGTTGACAATTGTTTCAATTGAATTGTAAATTCCATACCTTGTCAAGTCAATGTCAGACTTATTTCTGAACGGGAAGTATCCAGCATGTTGTCTGACTGCTTGAGGGTTGGGTTGATACCATTCGAACTTCACGCTTGCAATTCCTTCAATTGCATTCAAAATGTCTGAGTCGGAGTCAACCATTTGTTCTCTCTTTGTAGTCTTGAAAGCGTCAAGAAGTTGTGCGGCTGTTGTGACATTGCCATGCGCATAGTATATATGACCGTCCAAATCTGTTATAGTTAGTCTGAGATTGTATCCTTTCTTATTTCCGTCTTGTATAGCAGCAAGTACACCCATGAAGCCTTCTTTGTTCTTTCCTTCGTCAAAGTTTACTGTAAAGGTTCGACCAGATGTAATTTGACTTCTAACTTCACGATACTTTTCATATGCATATCTTGTTCTTTCCATGGGAGCATGTGTGTCTTCACCTTTTCCTTTTTTCCTTCTCAAAGGATGCAATTGTTCGTCATGTTTCCAATAGAACCTGGCAAAGCCGTCGTGTCCTTCAACTTGAGGCTCAGTAACATCGAAAGGCATATTCATAAGACGTTCTTCTTCTAACCTCTCTAGTCTGTTTGGATAATTGGCGCGCGCTGTTTCCAAGTCCATCTCGTAGCGAAGACCAGACAATTTGTCATAGACTTTTATGGGTCTTCCCTTCCTATATTTAAAATTCTTCGAAACTCTCCAACCATATCTTTGCAACTCTGCTTTTATTCTAGCAGATTTTCTATCCATTCTATATGGGGGCATTTTTATAAAAATAAAAAAATATTTTTTTCTTTACTTAACATAACCACCGGCTGCCATAAGTCTTTGACGCCAACCCATACCAGCTAATGAAGGTTGGCTTGGTTTAGTCTGGAGACTAAACTTTGGTTTTGGTTTTTCTTCAGTTTTTGGCTCACCTTCTTCTATTGGTTTTTCGTCACTTTTCGGTTCCTCTGACTTTACCTCACTTGCAGGTATGGTTGTGTCGTCAACATCTTCGTAAATATCATATGCCATTTGTTTTTGTTTTCCTTTCAACTTTTTGTGTTTGTTGTAAAGTTTAGAATATTTCGACTCTAAGTCAATGAGATGTTCTATAATGAACTGTTGGTCAGTGAAGTAAACTTTTCCATCTGCTGTCTCTTTAGTTCCTTCAGACTTCAATATTTTATTTGTGAGAGTCTGTTTCTTTTTTGAGATACTAGCCGTTCCATTTCTATGAAAAGTGACTTTGTAGTTAGGGTTTGTATTTCCAGACCTGGCACTTTCTATTATTGAATTTTTCTCTTCATCTGTAAGTTCTTTGACAGGTTTTGACAATGGTTCTGAACTTTTTGTTTGTGGTGTCAAATCTACCGTTTCAACTTCTTCGGTCATTTCATCTCAGTAAAAAATTTTAGTTTGGTTTGTTTTCAACTGGTTGTTGTTGTTTTTTAAGTCGGTCTAAAACTTCTTGAGGTATAGGAAGAACTTGACAAACACGTGGTTGTGTAACTGCTGGAAGCCGACAAATCCATCTTGAGCCCATTTGTCTCAATGCTGTATTGTTCATTTCATCTCAGTAAAAAAATTTACATTCCCCACGTTTGAGGTGGTTGAGGTTGGTTGTTGTTTACCCACTGTTGTGCATGGTTATATCCTCTGTTAAAGAATCTTTCACCTTGGTCCATGTAGTGCCCTGCTTGGTTATAGTAGTCATTTGCTTTGTTATAGTAGTTTCCTGCTTGTCTGGAAACATTATCCATCCATCCTTGAACTTTTCCTCTTGTTTCAGGATTTGGAATAAGATTTGCTGCATCTCGTGCTACCTCCCAACCTTTCTGTACAGTTTGTATAATAGGTTGTGCTTTCTCTTTCAGTATACCTAATGTACTCAAAATCTTCCTTCCAATTCCAAATGCACCTCTGGCTAGTGTTCCCACTGCGGGTAAAAATCTAGATGCAACTCCTGCTAACGCGCCAAATAAACCCATTTCTTATAGGATAAAAATGACGAATCCAAACAAGGACCCGTATGTTTCTAAAGCGACAAAGAAAGCACTCATGGTAAAAATCTTTAGTTCAACACCAAATGCTTGGTTTATGGATATCTTGGAAAACATTCCGAGGTATAGAGAAGATGGACCACCATACTGGCTAATATTTGTTGGTCAAAACACAAGATACTGTGAAGCCATACCATTACAGTCCAAAAATATTTTAGATGTGAAAACTGCTTTGACAATATTCGTTGACAAATACCATCCAACAAAACTGACATCTGACTGTGAAAGTTCTTTCAAATCAGATGATGTAAAAAACTATCTGCGTTCAAAAAATGTAAACCAATATTTCATTGTCGACCAAAACCATTCTGCTCTTGGTGTCATTGACAGTTGTATAAAAATCTTAAGAGACTTAAACCAACCACAAGGTGGTGAGGTAGGTGAGATGTCATATGACGACAAATATAGACATTTCTCCATGGCAAAGATGAGACAAGTTTTAAATATTTACAATAACCGTAAACAAAAAGGTTTGGGAAACCACTCCCCCGAAGAAATGAAAAACAACCCTGACTTAGAGAAAGACTATATATTTAATAGTTTAGTCAAAAGAGACAAACAAGAAAGAATGCCAGGCTTCAAACTTAAGAAAGGTGACAAAGTAAAAATAGAAATACCTAAACGCGACCCATATGAAAATACTATTGACTATGACAACAATGGGAACTCGACAGGTACTCGCATTCGTGTTCGTAAAAATAGAAGAAAGTATACAAGAGAATATTATGAAGTTTTAGGCAAACATGGCAAAATGTACACACTGCAAGCAGAAGATAAAACTACTATTGCCAGACCTCGTTTCAAACTTGTCAAAGTTCAAGGTGGTATACTTTCAAAGACAGTTCCTAACAAATATAAGACAACTCCTGACGAATATGCTAAAGAAGTTGAAAATGACGACTAAGCATTTCTATACCATGCGTAAACTGTCATGTAAGGTGGCATGTATTCTTTACTTTGTCCCGTTGTTTGCGTATACCCTGAAACGAAATGTGTATGGTCTCCTCCTACCTCAGTGTTATCCAAGTAACAATTTATAGCAAACTGAACGTTGTCTTTAACATCATATCCTTTACCTTTTGTCATTCCTGTCCAATCCCAATATTTATGCCTATGCCCACCTTCTCGAGATGTAGTTAAACTTACGTAGTGACTGTGCGCAGGTAAATTTGCACCTGAAATCGTTTTACTTCCACCTGTTTCCTTTGAAGAGTTTGCACAATACAAAAACCTGTCGACTATTTGAGTCCAAGTTCCAAAACCAAGTACTACTTCTGGTCTGGTAGAGTTCATTGACGTATAAATAGAGCCTATAGGATATAATGTTTGAAGTATTTCTGTCTTTAATGTTTGAAGCTCTGTTTTGTCTGCTTTTTTATATAACTTTTCTTCAAGTTCATTTACGTCAGAGATGCTATGTCTATGATATTTTTGTGGGTATGTTCCTTCTGTCCATGCGAAAATACGTTCTTTTGTTGCATCTACATATCCTTTTATCCATGTCGAGTCTGCTTTTGTATTCCTTAACTCTGTAACACCTTTCTCAAGCTCTTTCAACTGTTGTCCATCTTCCATTAAACCTCTGGTATGACTTGAAACCGTTTGTGCCAACATATCTACAGCTTCTTTGTCGGCTTTAAGGTCTAAACATCCTGAAACCCACCCTGTATTGGCTTTACCTTCTAAAATCTTCGATGTCCGTTCATGGTACCATTCAACCCTTTTTATAATTTCATTGTCTTTTTCATCCACATATTCCTTATCTGCCTTCTTCACTAACCCACTAGCCAGATATGCTAACTCATCGTCAACATACTCTTTGTCAGCTTTCTTTTCAACATCCTCTTTTGTTGCATATGTTGCATCTGCTCTGTCATGTTCTTCTTGAACTTTTTCAATGACATACTCTTTGTCAGCTTTGTTGTCAATATCTGCTTTCAAAAGAAGTTCATCTATAGGTTTCTCGTTTAAAGTTCTTTTTGTTGGATTTATACAAACAGTATGGTTCTTACTGTCTTGAAACAGAAACTCGTCTGTCAATGGGTTTATCGTCAGTTTTAAGTTTCCTTCTTTCAATGACTCAGATATCTTAGAATAGTTTGAAAAGTTTGTTGTGTTCTTATTTAGAGCTTGCAAAATGAGTTGTCGGTTGTGTTGTATTTCTCTCATAGACGCTGTTTCTTTCGACATTTTTATTCTAGATAAAATATGCTTTCAATAGAAAAAGAAAATTCAAGAGTTGCTACAACTAAACCATTAGATGAACTTTTTACTAACGTAGGTCAAAAGTTTGAGACAGAGACCGTAAAGCATGAAGGCTATCGTTTTGACTACCCATTGAGATGGTTAAGAGACCCATCCGTCACAAAAGCTATTGGCTTTCGTAGAATGAAGTTTGTGTCTGTAGAAGATAAAAGTTTTCCATTTATTGTAAGGTTTCATATAGATTATATATCTGAAGGGAAACGAAAAATGTGGGAAGAAATTGAGCTAATACAAGTTGACCTTTCATCTTCTCTACAGACTGCGTTAAAAAATATAGAAGATAAAATAAATTCATGTTATGCAAAATATGCTGATGAATATGCAAATACCGAGAGCACACTTTATGTGAGAATTGTATATGACAAACAAAATTCACAAGTGTCATTTCAAATCTACGAAGACAATCCAAAGAAAGACGAACAAATATATACAGAATTCACTGCAATGTCATGGTATTATTTGCAAAGAATGTTAAATCAGAAAGTCGAACTTCCTTTAGCAAATATTTACAGTCGATATGCAAGAGATGAACCATATTTATTTAAAGATGTTTTCGACCCAGCTGCTATTATTGTTCATGCTTCATTTTCTGGCGCCCAAAACTCTTTCTTATGCTTGGCAAATGACTTTTACGAAAAACCTACAAAGTTATACGAACCACCAAGTGGAAGTATTTCAGACTTTCAAGTATGGTTTACTACAGATGGAAGAAAGAGAATAATTCCATTATACCATGCGTTTTACTTAGAACTTAGTTTCATATACAACTACTATCGAACGGTAAAAATATAATTTTTTAATACGGTTGAGGTGTTGGATTTGGTTGCCAACTAGACTGTGGTGCAGGTTCAGGCTGTTGTATAACAGGAGCTTGTTCTTCTGGTTCAGGGTCTTTAGGTATAATACCAACGAACTGACCTACTCTTTTACCAATATTTTTGACTCCGTTCCAAATTCCTCTTCCTACGGTTTTTATTCCATTCCACATACCTCTTCCAACATTTCGAAAGAAGTTTCCTATTCTTCCAAAGAAACCCATTTTACTATATGTAAAAATCTAATGTCCGCCTAGTCTCTTACGTTTCCTTCTGAGTTCCATAGCATTCTTTAACTGGAGCTCATACATTCTATTTCTCCTCTGGTAGAAAACATACTCTGGGTCAACTCCTGTGTTCGCGTCATCTGCATAGAGTTGTTTATATCCCACTTCGGGGTTTGTATAAAACTCTTTCCATCTCATATTTGCATACCATGGTGGCAAACCTAACGCAGCGTCATTTGACATGGCAGTTTGCATTTGTACATCTGTTGGCACTTGACCATAGTTTTGCCATTGCAGTTTGTATTCTAACTTCATTTGGAATATTCTCTGGGTTTGGTTGTCCAGGTTGCTGTGCATTCGCTAAGTTCTGTGCGTCCATTTAATATTAGATAAAA